TCAAAGACACATCGAGTTATTGTGGAAACAAACACAGTGACATTTTTTTCCCCCTAGAGGTAACACTCCCTTTCCCACAGGCTTAATAGATAGTAGGCTGTTAACACAATGCAACATTCAGTCAAGGCCGCCCATTTCCCAACACATGCTGTAGCATAATCTACACAGCAACACATTTAGCTACATTTAAACCTGATCAGGCATGACTGAGGAGGATCCACCCAAAGAAACATATGTTTCTTTTTTAAGGATCAGAATCTTGAGTTGTTGTTGCCAACTCAATTATCCTTATTGTGAAACAGATTTTTAGCCTACCCACACATAAAAACAATACAAAAAAAAAAAAAATCCCAAATTGATAATGCAATAGAACATTTGAAAAAAAAAAAAACAAGAAATCAGAATAGCCCGATCGATTTGATCTGTTAAACTCGATTAAATAATGGAATGCATGTATGGATGTACAGCTCTGAACTTGCATACCACGAGTACTGGACTATCCAGACATTTTACTTAGTGAAAGTATTTTGCCAATTTGAGCAAGCTAACACAACTTCCTGTTTCTAGATTCCTGTTAGGAAATCTATCTCCTAAAAGTGAAATAAGTTAATAATACAACATCCACTGATAAAATGTTTTCAGTCTAGATTAAAACCTTGCTGATTGTGTCCTGTCACTGTCCTTGCTGCCTTCCCTTATCCTCGTAATGGAGAGTTAACAGCAGAAAAGCTGCCTTCAAAATCTAACTGAAGGAAACAGCTTTCAGGGCTCTTGGAGAAATCCACCGCTTTTATGAAAGATTCTTAATCAAATTAAGTGTAAACAGCAGTTAACTTTGATCTTACTAGAGCAAGTCTCGACTTCACTCAGTTTTTAAGAGAGCTCCAACAAATTTGTAGGAATAAAAAACATGATTAATGTCTCGGTAAAAAGCTTTGAAAATTATTGAATATCTTTCATGATAAAATTAAGGCAATATATTGCGTCATGGTTTTAAGCAAGAAATTAAGAACAAAGTGGTTGAGTTTGCGCTGCAGAAGTAAAGTAATAAAGGATTATATTTTTAATTTGCCTTAAGTCAAAAAGAGAGGCTTACATCTAGACACTCTAGAGCTGCTCTCACAGCTAAAGTCAAAATAATCAAAACTATACAATAATTAAAAAACATTTTTCATGGAAATTTGCAATGCTTCCTGCTCACAGATCTCCCCATTTAGCATCAGAGCTTTTACAATAATGTAATGCTCCAGTGGCTGTTTAACATCCAGACTTTGATAACAGGAGATCAACGAGCTCTGCTGGTTTCCTGTTGGCTCTGGACTCTGTTTGCTGATGAATATCATGTGACATTTCCCTTGAATATTTGCTAAAATACATTGACTGGAACAGCATGTGTTTCCAGGAAACCACAGCTATATTATCAGGCCACTTTATACGCAGCAACACACTGGAAGCCTCAGAAACTTTTTGCGGTGACACACTTGGTGGACCCAATGTAATGTTCATATGGTTAGAGACAAGCCTTTGCAGGCTTTATATATAACCTGGTTCAGCACAGTGAAAGATATGTAAAGATAGGTATTTTGTATAGAAATAGATAATGGTCTAAGTAGTTTTGTGTGCATTGAACACATTTTTTAAAGAAAGCTAGCAATTTTTTTTTATAGATAAGAAAAGTATTTTTATGCAATATGCATGTCTGACCAGAGACACCATAGAATGTCAGAAAGTCTTGAAAGACCCAGGTGGAACAGATTTACAGTAAAACCATGCCTTCGAGCTGCAAGGGGGAGACAGTTGCAGAGCTGAGTCTGTGAGTAGGTGTGAAGCTGGAGGCAGATGAGCAGCACTGCACTATGACTGATAAAACTAGTGTACTAATCTAAGCTCTGGTAAATAATAATAGCTTTGTAAATAATAAAAAAAAGTAAATCCCTTTATTTTTCCACAATGGTGAAATTCACTCTCTGCATTTAACACATCCCCTTGGGGAGCAATGGGTTGCCATTGTGCGGCGCCCGGGGAGCAGTGTGGGGTTAAGGGTCTTGCTCAGGAACCCAGAATGCACGCTGTGGGGGCACAAGCACACTGCTCTAACAAATAGGCCAACTCTCCCCTTTCTGACAATATTGTGAAAAATGTCAGCCTTTGTTTACCCAAGAAGTTATTAAGGTTTAAATATCAATGTTGTGCTGCTAGATGTTAACCAAAGTTTTTCTTTGAGGCACATCTCAAAAAGTAATAGGTGCATTGTGTATGGTTTTAGACAATCACAGTACAAATGAGGTAAAAAAAAAAAATTACATACGGCCTAATAGATCAACATTCTTTCAAGCTTAGTCCTGTAAGATGCAAGGGGATGTGTCGATCGATCAGACTCAGAACACCCCTCTGGTTATTTATTTGTTCAGTATCTAGGGAAATAAACATTTTTCAGAAAATTGTCTCTCAGACCCAGAAGTAATCTATCAGTTTGGGCTAGTCATTTGTATTTTGGGCCTTCTCAATCCCAACGTCTCAATTAGCAACCAGATTCACAGTTGGTCCTTTTCCTAAATTACATTCTATGTTGAGCACAGAGGACCAGGAAGTCCTTACAAAAGCTGCAGTTTTGACGATGTTCTGGTCAAGTCTTTCATTTGTTGTAACAGCACATCTTCTCAAATTCTTTTCCTGGCTTATTTTTCATGATTTAAACCCTTGGACTTGGAGGACAGCATTAACCTTTTGCCCAGGACGAATCACTGCTCTGTAAATGGACATATCATTAAAAGCAAACCTAAATTAACCTTGATTTATTTTTATGTGAAGGCTTGTAAATTGGATTTTTTTAGGCCTTATGGCAAATCAAGCTATTAAATCCATTCTCCCCAACATTGTTAGCACTGTTGGTGGCAATCATAAATCAATCAGTGTATGCTCTGATGCAGTTTAGCTATCAACTTGAAAATTGCAGATACTTTAAAACCAGCAAGGCCAATTCAGAATGTACATAAAAGGACCCCTGTACTCGAAGCAAATATCTGACAAACTTACATGTTGGTGTGTTCAAGGTCTTAGCAGAAAACAGACCCTGCAGTGATGAAAGAACACAAGGCATTGTTGTTTAGATAGAGTCAAGTACCGTGTCAGGCCTGCGCCTAAACAATTCTGAGTGATGACAAAAGCCAGGAAGTAAGACACAACAAAAAAAACCCAGAAATGTCTCCTTGTGCCAAACTGAAAAAAAAAATAATCCACACCCCTGGAGCTCTGAATCTCTTCTTTTAATGCTTTAAAATCATGTGAATCTGCACTTGATGCCTTTTCCGGCATTAATTTAACACTTCATAAAACCCTTCTCACGCGGCCACAAACACAATAGTGTCTAAACATGGGTGGACCAGCTAAATGAAAGCGCCACATGGTGTCTGGGTGAACTGCAAGAATAAACTTCCACACCAGAAGAAGATAGATGGAAAGAATACTTCTTAGAAATCACAATAAAGTGAACCTAGCAGCAGCTTTTTATTCATACAGTTAGCAGCAATTATGGTTCAATAAGGTTAAAAATAAGCAATAATAAAATAATGTTCCTACAGGGATAAAGAGCTGCTCTATGCAAGGCAGCACTGGGATGAGGCTGTAAACCACTTGGTTGTTCGGATGTTTTCCATTTGCTCCGGAATGTTCTCCAAGCTGTTGGTAAAGCGATCCAAGACTCTAAGCACACCCACATCCACAGCAAACCCTTCCCATACAGCAACCATATCAGGATTTCCTGCTCAGCAGAGCATCAGAACTGAAGAGCTTCCATTTGTTTTATGTACTGGGATCCATATGATTTTTGGGAAATTCTGTTTAAACAGAAGTTTAATTAAAAATCACTATTCCTTGATTTGGTTTTTAGTTACATTGTTTTTAACCTTAACCATAAAATAAACAACAAAATCCAACAATTGGAAATGAGGCAAAGGATGAAAAGTAGAGCACTTTAGGGACGCTTTTATTTTTTGACTACCTTGACTTTTTGAGTACTTGTTCAGCTCGATTACTAATTTTTTATGAAAACTCTGTAAATCTTTAAAGAGACACAAAATTGCCAAACAATTAACCACATCAACGTCATGGGATAAGGTATTAAGAAAGGTAACTTTTTAGGATAAAGAACCTTTCAGCACCTGAATATTTAGATCCTGAAGGAAGAGAACCTCTTATCTTAACCATGTAGTTGATCTATAACAACATCATAAATTAACAGTGATGGGAATTCCTCTTTTAAAGCCAGGCTGCAGGCATTTACAATAAGCAACAATTACGTCGCTCTTTGCCTTCCCCCCAAAGCCCTCTCATGAGACAAAAAAAATATTTGATAGTATCAGAAAGTGCTGGAATGTGCTCCATGAGTCCAAACAGTACTTCCTGTACTGTTTGGACTTTTTGTTTTCATCACTGAAGAAAATAATTTCTGTTACCACTGAAGGCCTGTGTTGTGATCCTCTGATTGTGTTTGTTGGACTTTTTATATAGTAGTTTTAAAGGCTTTGCATTTATAGATTCCAATGTTAATTCTCTACAGTACCTCCCATGTTGAAAGCACCGAATAAGGTTTTAATGACACCAAATAACAAGGCTGTGTGTTAATATCCAAAAATATAATCTTTTACTGGAAGTTTTAATCATACTGATATAAAGGAAATTTTAAAGTCTTTAGGCTGAAAGGCATCCTTGTTTGGAGACACGAGACGACAGCATGAAGCTCAAAGTCAGCTTTTTCCCAAAATAACCAGTGACTATAGACTTGCGTTTTTGCTTTGGAAGTGGAGGGGAATCGTTTCATGTGGGGAACCACCCCAAACAACACAACAAGATGTTTTCATCTCTGAATAACTTCAAAGACGCCTTTATCTTGACCACAGGGATGAAATGCTGCCAACGCTGCAGAGCCATCTGTGCTAAATAAACAAAATGTGATAGGAAACTGAGAATGAATAAAACAGACACACGAAGAAACCACAATATTTACAGGTATTTTTCTCTTTTATTGTCATGCTTTACTTTTGGTTTTCGGTTCATTTATGATCTTCTTAGTTCAAAGCTGCTGCTCCTGGACCCCTGAACAACTCACCCAGTTCCACAATAGATTAGTTGCACCACAAAATTGGCACATACACTGCAGGAGAACTGCAGTTTTACCTGTTATGCTGTAAAAAATTCTACATACAAAACCAGCGTATAAAAAATAACATTAGTTGTTAAAGTTAGCAGAGGTTGTCCATGAAACAAAGTCTGTTGTCCATTTTTTTTCTCCACTTTAACACTTCAGGCGTCGCAGCTGGACACTTGCAGTACACGTCAGCTGCTGTTTTTCCCACCTCGTCTTACAGCACAAACCTCAACTGCTTCCCATAGATTCAAACGGACTGGCTGTGAACCATCAGGATGAAAATGCTTGCAGAGGAAACAGCAGTGACTGTGATCCAGATGCAGGACTCAGAAGGATGGGTACCAGTCTCAACAGGTCTCTCAGAGGGATGCCCAGCCGGCTGCTACGCAATAATAAATCTGCTAAAGAGCTGCAGCCTGCAGGGAAAAATGACAGGATAGTACAGTCACGGCAGCTGAAAGGTACTTTCTAAAACAGTTTTTGCTTTTTTTTTGGCTAATGAAACTTATTAGCACAGCTAGTAGGATCATGTAAGAAACATTTATATTTATATATATATATATATATATATATATATATATATATATATATATATATATATATATATATATATATACACACATATATATTTTAGTTAACCTTTTGCATCATCTTTGAAAGCTACTATCTTGCATGTTTTAGATTCATCTCTTCTACAAAACACCTGAATCTAATTCCCTGAGCAATCATTAAGTTCAGACAGAAGGGTTCACAGATTTGATGCAGCTCTGTCGGAGGAAAGATGCATCTAAAGACTCAATCAAATAAGCGGGTTAATGCAGGTTTTTCAAAAATGGGGCGACCAGCTATAATCAGCTTTCGGCTTCCTTCCCATTGGCAAAAAAGGCCAGGTCTGACCCGCTGCTGGCAAGCTGTATGGCCTCTTTTCCCTACTGCTGTGTGTCTGGTGACGCCATCCCACAGGGTTAAAGTTGATGTTGTCACCAGTGAAATCAGGGAAGTAAACAATGGAGAGCAACCTGTAAGGAATGGAAATAGTAGGTGTGCAACATTGTAAGCAGAGTTGTTTAGGCTTGTTAGATGACGTCAATACCTTGTGCTTAAATGTATCACTTAATTAGTGGGTTGACCTGGGTCTGATGTTCCCACTGTATACTGATCGGAGCCGAAACGTTTGAAGGCGATTTTAACCTGAGCCGCTTGCCGAGTCGTTTGACCCGGGTCAGTGAGCTGTTCCTACTGCCACTAAAAGTCAATTTTCCCCCAAGTTTAAACAAGTTTTTCAGCCAGTGTGAAAGGGATATATAAGTTGCCGGACAGTAGTTCTCCAGGACCGCACTTGAGCATCCTTGCACTAAGGTATTAGAAAATAAACACTGGAGCTGCAGATTTGTGACAATTGATTATGAATTTTCGTTTCTGATTTTAAATATGCATAGAAAGCTCCTAGTCACCAGTCTGTAAATCCATTTAAGGTTTGTTGAGGCTTTTATTTATAAATATAAACCCTGTGAGTTTCCTTCCTACATAAGTGTGTCTTACCCTGCAGATGTGTGTTTGTGTTTTTGAAGCACGGGATGGAGCGGTACACCAGAAAGCAGGCCAACATGATGGACTGGGATTCCCTGGATAGAACCTCTCCCCTCATGTAGGATCTAAGCACTGAGCTGTGATCTAAGGGAAGAGAAAACAAAAAACAGATTAATAGTCACCAGTCCTTCAACAACTAAACACCCATAAAACCTTGATCACTTATTTGAGTTATCAAATACAGCAGTATTGCAGTACTTCAGAGCTTATACAGCTGTTTAAGAGATGGTTTGATGAGCGTCAGCAAGAAGCCTGGAAACCGCTCATAACTTACAAAGACAGGCTGATGGAGGAGTTGCATATACAATACTTCCTGTCATGTCCTTCATATGGCAAGACTTTAAATAAACTTAACTGACATTAGCAAGTCAAATCTGACACATGTGGTGAACAGAACCTGCTTTTAAAAAGTACTATTGTGTTACAAATGAAAAAAAAAGATACTTTAAGGATGTTTTATGTTTTAGCCCTCTATGTTCTACAAAAAATGGTACCCAGCACAGACTCTAAGGGCAGTAGGGCTGGGTATTTTCGTCAAAGTCCTGAGTCGATTCAATTTTGATTTATACAGTTCTAAATCGATTAATTTCGATTCGATCTGTTTTTACAATAATGAAAGTGGTTCAACTGTATTTCAAAATACTCATGTATTTTATTTTTTCCTGTCACATTAAACACAAACTGCAAACTTGTAAATCAGACAGTTTAAACTTGAGATGTGAACAAAACTGTTTTAAAAGTGCAAACTTGTTTGTGAAAAGTGAAAAAGTGAAGCCTCACTCAAGCAAGCAGACGTGACACAGCGACATTAACCGCTCTATCTATCCATCTATCTATCTATCTATCCATCTATCTATCTATCCATCTATCTATCTATCCATCCATCCATCTATCTATCCATCTATCAGGGATGGAACGGTTTATGAAAACCGTCCGAACCGTTCGGTTTGACTGTCTCGGTTCGGTTCGTGTGTGTTGCGTTCGGTTCATGTGCTGCTCCATTTTCTCATAGGTGAAGCCAACCACCAGTAGTAAACAAGAAGAAGCCAAGCAGCATAGCAGGGTGTAGCAGAAAAAAAATCAGTTGTTGTGGAGAATTGTGTGGGTATGGTGAGTGGGAAAGAACAGGAGTTGGAAGACGCGCCAGCAGCACTTTCTAGGTCTGCTGTATGGGACCATTTTACATTTAGAGTGACCTACGATGACGGCGGAAAGAAAGTTGTGGATAAAAGTGCAACAGTGTGCAAGCATTGTGCAACACATTTTGTTTATGCTAACAGCAACATGACCAACATGTCATGCTAACCCCGAAATCCCACATACTCCGTCATGCTCCCCTCCGCTCCGCCCCTGCTGCGCTCCAGACCGCCTAGACAGAGCAAAGCCTACAGCCTCCACTGTGGCTCCCGTCCGCTCCGCTCTGAGTTCCTTGGAGATCGTAGAGGGCATGCGCCAGATGATTAAATTCAAAGCAGCAAAACATGCGGATATGATCCAGGGTTTCCGCGAATCATTAAAAATAATTACAATTCATAAATTTTTTGGAATTTTTTCATTAATTTCATTAATAAATTTTTTTTTATTAATTTTTATAAAAAAAATTATTTTCGGTGTAACACTAAACATATACCGAACCGAAAACCGTGACCACGAAACCGTGAACCGAACCATGGATTTCGTGAACCGTTCCACCCCTACTTATATATATATATTTTTTTTTTTTTTTTTCATATATGCAAAATAATTTGGAAGCTGTTACGTTTAAAAAGGAATATACATATCTGCTCAAAATCCTTTGGGTCATGAATAATCCACAACCTATTGATTATTTCACCTTGAAATTTTACAACTAAACTCATCAGGTTTTTAAGTGTATTTTTCTGCATGCAGCTAGGCAGAAATCCCTTTGAAGTCCAAGAACATAAATCTCTCACATGTATGCATTGTTGGGGTCTCATTAGGAGTGTTTATGTGTAAAAATCCCTGCAGCATTGACTTCTAAGAAAACAACACAAACAAAAATGCTAGAAATAAGGTCTGATTCAGTCATTAATGGGAGAACTCCTGAGAACAACAACATTATTGATCCTTGTAGAAACATTATTCCGCCTCGCAGCCATCTTGCGTAAAGTAAGGACAAGTTGGAACTGATTTCATTATCAAAATCTAACGAAACCATTACACCCGTTTCCCACGACTCATGCAGACTACTTTCCTATCTCTCAAAGTGTTTTGAGTGCTGGCTCAGTTATGGAATGTGTGTTGGGTGTATGTACTCTCTGTTTGTCCTCTAAACTATGACATTCATGCAATACACCCTTAACCTAAAAACAAGTGGAAACAGCCACCTTGTGACACGTCTGAAAATAAGGGACGCTGATGCAGATTCTACATTTTTTTGGCAACACTTTTAGCAAACATGAATCCTGTAATCACCCGTCAATGAGAATGTTTAACATGCAAGCAAAACAAGGCGTCACTTCGAAAGAATTTGTCTTAACAGTTGGCCTCAGTCAGCCGAGTGCTGTCAAGTTACATCCTGCAGTCAGAATACCTTTCAGCAGTCATGGCATCTGCCGCGAAGCGCAAAGAATTCTTTTACATCCTGTTGAGGAAGATTTTTGCAAAGGGCAGTGTGAGACAATAGCTGCTTCTGCATTATACTGGTGGATTAACAAACATTCCGGATAAATTAAAAACAAAAGCAATAAAATTCCACAAACTATTTTCTCAATTATGTGACAGAAACTGAAGCGCTTCATTGCTACATAGCAGTAAAGAGAGCAGTAACTCATCTTTTAAAATTAAAGGCCATGACTGGAACTCAGATAGTCTACTATTCAAGCAATCAACTTTACATATCCTAAATAAAATGTATCCAACATAAGGAAACCCATTGGTAACTTAATGAAGACTGCATCTGTGCAAAATGTGATGTCTGAATAGAAGATTGGAGTGACCAGTCCTGGGTAGCTGCCTTTAGGGACTTTACAGATGACTTGATTAATGATATCATACCTTTAAGTGTCTGCTGAGCTATTCTAGGTAACAGCGTGGTGGCTAATACTTTAGATGCCAACAGAATGAGTAAGAGGAAACAGGATTTAGGCTGTAAAGTGGCTTATTGTTGATCCCTTTTTATACTTCCTCCTGGTGACATTGTGTTTCAGTAAATTGCCCATGGTCACCCAGGGCGCCATTTTATTATGGGGCAGCACAAGCACATCAGATCAGTCAAAACAAAAAGCTGCTCATTGAACAAATTTTCCTTTACTTATTTTTAAACACTGAGCACCCCCCCCCCCCCCTTGTGTTAACTAAGCTTTATAGTAAAATTCTTTTAACTGATGATGGGGAAGCTAACTGATGAAAAGAAATCTTAAAATCTGCTAAACTAACAGGTTGTTTCTTTTTCCAATTAATCTAGAACGCATTTGATGATCTCTAGATTGAAATCTAAACAGATGGAATTTAAATATTTAACGCTGAAGTAATGTGCTAAAACAGAGGATCTTCTGTACATTTATTTATTGGAAGAAAAAAACAAAAAATCACTGCTGCCTTTCCCTAGATGCTCTGAAAAGGTTTGAACATGGTTCAATTTACTTTAAAACAATTAAAATATTTTTGTTTTTTTTAAAGTTGAACTAAAGTGCTTTAAAAGCTAGACACAAAAATATTGTTTGGAGGAAAAAAGATGGTGAAACTATTTAAGATAAATGAAGCTCAACAAAAGTCACAGATATACTTTTTATGGACTTAAAGACCTTTACTGAATGTAAACCAAGTGTTTATAGAGGTATGTTCAATAAAAAGAAAGCAGCTGTTTCAAATATTTGGTCACTTTTGGTTTCAATCTTTTTATTTTGTTTTACTCCAAGTAAAACCCGCTTGGCTGAATGCAGAGATCTCACTGGGTTTCAGCCATGATGACATCTACTAAATATGTTCCTGCAAAAGGAGGAGGATTTTGGTCTACCTGTTAACTTCAAATTTAAACTGACCATAGCTATCATTATGTGATGACGCAAGTAGCCAAGACAGGAGGAAAAGAAGTTGTATTTTACCACTGTTTGGGGACTAAGCTAGTAATCAGTAGTGTCATAAATGCCCGTTGCTATCAGGAAGAAAGTTCATACTGTGAAACCAACATTAGCTTTTAAGGGTTAATAACTTCTTAGTTACGCTAATAGGTGATGGAAACTGCTTCAGGAACAGAGTATGAATCTGCAGGGACTAATAATAAGGGGTTGCATCAATAAGCAAATAATCCAAATCCCATAACACACATTACGGACTTAACTTAATTAAAAGATTGCTACAAATTCACCATGACCACTACCCACTACTGCTCCAACTATCGGTTTACCTTTGAGCCAGTTGTCCAGAGCTAAATCCACTGCATTCTTCATGACAGGAAGAAACTCTGAGGTCAACAAGGTGTCATGTTTGTTTGCACGAACTCGCAGCATCCTGCTGTCCCACAGCTCCACCACCAGACGCAGCTGCCACAAGGGGAACGTCTGCTGGAGCTCACCTTGACGTAGGGCCCCAACCACCTGAGAGAAATGAGGAATGACTTAGTTCAGCTATGCTTGGGACCTAAGATGTGGTTCCACAACAGGAACGTTTTCCAGGGATCAGCTAGGCAAGCCAATGGTTGCCATTACTATTTCTAAATGATTTTATTGTTATCTACCTCTTACTTTTGGAGTTATTCTAATTCTGCTCCAGACTGTAAGCAAAAATACATATTTTTTGGTGAATAAGCCCCCCACCACCACAAAGTGAAGTTAAGGAAGCTTAAATACAATATCTTCTTCTTTTCAAACTATTTTTTCTATAATTTTTCAAATAGTGTGGAACTTAACCTTTGTTTATTAACCTTGTTAATAAAATAAGAACTTCAGAATCTTCAGGAAGTTAAATTTGTTTTTTTTTTATTGTATTGAATCTTTACACGTATGCTTACTTTACCCATCTTCTACAGCTGCCCTGTATGTAAATGTTTGTGTCCTCTGCTGAGTGGGTGAGTTACCTGTTCTATAGCGATATACGTCGGCAGCATCTCTGGACACTCCTGTGTGACGCACTCGTACAGCATAGCTGAGAACAACACAAGGCTATCCTCGCTCTGCCAAGATCAGAGAACAAATGGCACAAATTTACTGCTTTCTGAAAACATTTGTGCATCAGTGATTATTGTCTATTGATTATTGTCAAATATTGTCTACTACTTCATCCATCTTCCCCATTCACAAAAGTTCCCCCAAACAAGGTAGTTCCCATTTCACTTCATGATGTCCTTAAACATCCGCTGCTCTTCAAGAGCCACCGAGTGCATTCATGTTTACTCTTTCTAATAATATGGGCTTTCTAATGATGTTTAGGAGCTAGTTAAGCTGTCTGTGACATGATTTACAGAGTGAGCATAACAGAAAATATTAATAAAGACTTAAGCATTGTTTTAAATTGCAAAAGGAATTTTAAACAATGTCGGCTTCAGCTGTTTTTCATATCGATTTCAAGCAATACATGCAAAACATTTTCCCAGAGACCTAAACACAAAGATAATTTTTTTTCCCCTTTCTTAAATATAAAACATGTCCTATAGTAATATAAAAAATATTCAGAAGTTAAAAATGGAAGGTTGCTGATAGGGCTGAGACAATCGGATTATTGTCATTAATCGATTATTGAAATAATCGTCAACTTATTCAGTAATCGATTTATCGTTAAATGGAGTATACAGACTGTAAAATGTGCTTTTAGTGGACAGAGGAAACAATTTGGATTATATAAAATTTATATAAAAATATATTATATAAAATTTTAACAAAATACATAAACATATTGGCATTTTAAGATAAAGACATTTTTTTGTCTGTCATTATGCTCCATCCAGAACTCCTCAAGTGGAGAAGTTTTAGTTTCACCTGGTTTAATTTCCAAAAAAGTCTTTTTAGGAACCTTTGGTTATCTGATTATTAATCAAAAAAATAATCTACTGATTAATCGATTTGCAAAATAATCGTTAGTTGCAGCCCTAGATGCGGAGCCATCCAGTCAGACTTCATGTGAATGTTAGAGGGAAAAAACAGTAAACAGATTTCTTAATGATGATTAAAATATTAATAAAATAGTGAAGTTATTTTCATAAATTTTCTACACTGCAAGCTTTTCCTATGTGTTATTTCATGCCAAGTTAAGAAAAAGTTATTGTCCAATTATGCACATAGAAACTAACCATCATGCATGAAGATACAAATGCAGCGTTGGAGTGGTTGGATAGATAAAAACAGAAGACTGCCGTCGGAAATTACAAACTGTCACAGTTATACTCCAATGGTGCATTTTCCTCCATTTTACCACGCAGACCTCTGCAATCTGTCCAATTAACCTGATGTCGTATAAAGCAGCCTCCTTTCTCACACTATGGAGGTCAAGTGATGAATAATCAAACTCAGCATCAGTCAACACAATCTACCTTGTTCAATTTAAACCATTAAATAACAGGGTTTCTATAAAACATTGCAGACATGGATGCTTTCCAACATGATCACACCATCAGAGTTTAGACGATCATGAGATTGATCTCTGTGCTTTTTTAAATGAAAGGCCTCGATAGACGTTTAAATGAATAAACATGAGATGCAGGACACAAATAAAAAAATCATTTTGTTTACTTGTTGACAGGCTGCTGCTGTTCATAAACACACAGAAGACTACTGAACTCCACTGAAGGATGACCAAACAGTCATTTGAAGCTGTGCTTTGAGTTTAACAAACTCGTGTTTGTGCTCATTTAAGGGCATGTAGAGAGGGACATGTGCTGCAATGATGATTTTAGCCTTTAGGGATTTCCGCTGAGATAAATTGACCACTGCAGTTTGTTTTCATCTCCAGGGAGTTTCTGTCTGGTTTAAACCACGAAAAGTCCAGTGTTTAAGTAAAACCCCAAGATAAAAATTAAATGTTAAAGTTTACTTTCTAATGAAGGCAGAATGCAGTAATTTTTTTACTTACTTTTTGTTAGAAGTCCCAAAAAAACACTATATTTTAGTCCTTTCCATCTGATGAGCCAACAATCTAACAAATAAAGCCACCATCTAACTTGCTGAAAACCACAGAAGACGCAAAAATGACTGCAGTTCTAAACCTTTCTTTGGTCAGGGTACACTTACAGATTTTAGTCCTTCAAAGGTTTTGCAGAAGAATTCAGCAAAGGAGATGAGGGCAGGCTCTGAGGTGAAAGTAGAGATGGCTTCAGGCTGCAAAAAAAAACAAAAAAAGCAACTCGTTTTAGCTGTGGGCATGAACTAACTGGGATTCAGGTATACTGAGGCTTTAAGCAATTACAGCTTGAAAACAACTCAATCATCATCGTCATGCAGTTGCTATTTTAGTGGTGGTAGAATTATACCATGGGTATTGTTTTTTTCAGATAAAAATGCCACACTGTGACCCATGTCTGATCAGCAAAAAGTTCAACATAAACAGAAAAAAGAGACACAAAATACCATCTGGTGAACCCAGCAGTTGTAAAAGGCTTTAATGAAACAGCACAAAAAGAAACAGTTGAGAAAAAACTGACAAGCAAGGAAAGACACTGAGGGCAAGTAAACAAAAGCGAAAGAAACAAGCAGCTATTTTTTCTGCTCCCAGAGTCCTGCAGGTATTTTGACAGAAAATAAAGCAGCCAACAGGTGAGTAGTAATGGTCTGTCAGCTGCAGAGCTGCCAGTTGACTCTGCAGGGACAACCTGCCATGAACAAAGAGGCTATGTTCATGTCTTGGCATGCCTCTTGCTAAATACGTATACCAGAAAGAATGTTTATGCAAAATTGATTGTCCTGTATTGATTCGTTGGATTAAGATCGTAGCTAGAATATTGTTTTGTTTCCGTTGCATGTTTGTTCTTAACAAGGACATCAGTAGAACTAAAAACACTCCCACACTTTCAGCTCTGCTGTCTAAAGCATCAGAGATCTGAACATTAAAGCTGATCTCTCAGTAGCCACCTCTGCACCTGCCAGAACCTAACCTTCCTCTTCATTCACTTCCTGCTTTCTCAATTTCTAAGCTAAAAGGCTGTCCACCACTTCATCATCAGAATTATCAGTCTTCCTGTCTCCCTCCTTATCTTCCAGCTCAAAAAGAAGCTGCGCTGCCTGCTTTAGATTTATCCTTTGGATTATCTATTGCATCCAGCAAAAACAACAGCTACATACCTTTGACAATCTAAATGTTGAAAATCCCTCAACTATCAAACCTCTCTGTTAATATCGCCATCACTGTTTTTCTCTCTACTCTGTCTACAAGTTAGTCTGATTCTCATCTCTATAACTTTCCGTTTGGTTCCTTAGCAACAACATTTTGTAACTAACTGGTTGAAAATGTGAGGTTTCTACCAATAGCCAGCAGAACCGCTAGCATGTTTGCAATTACGTGCAGATTCACAAACTCTGAGCTCAGAGATTACAGGGTTTATACAGGAATGAACAACTAATTTAATGCTTTTTAATGCACTTAAAAATGATTTTAATGTAATCAACAAGTACCCATCTCATATTTATATATAAAACACGGCACAATCCTTCGTCATCTTTACCATCGACAGGCTGCAACCAATTTTGGAATTCCTCGTTTTCCAGCCACTTTTGTTGAAATTAGCATTTTTCCATTCTCTAGCTTTTTCTCCGCCTCAAGCTTCTTTTCCAAACATATGGCTTTACGATCAACCGGAAGCAGTTACATCGCAATATAACATATCTGAAGAAATTTCTTTTATAAACCTTTTTTCCTTTTAAATAAAGCATTTAAATGCAATGATAATCGTATTTAATTTTAATGCCAATTAAGGCCTTAATTTAAAAATGAATAATTTAATGACTACTAATGACCCGCGGAAACCCTGGATTAACCCATTTGCATAATTTCTCCTTTGCAATTTGACAATATACTAAAAAATATAGTAAAATTAATCTAGCCTAACTCAAGATTAACACAGACACCTTTAAACCTAACCAAAATCAGCCAGTACTGCTGCCAATTGACTGTGCATTCCTAATTATGATGACTTGTCAGAATATTTGGGAAAGCCATTTTGTTTACCTTGAAAGCTGTGACTCCAGAACTTCGGTGGTTTACGGTTGTGGCCAGCAGGCTCTTCCAACCTTGAGGGTCATCTTTGTAGGGCAGCTGTCCGGCCCGTAATTTCACATACAACACACCATCTCTGATCAGAATGGAGCTGAAACAGAAACAAACAAAAAATATTAATAACTTAATAAAATGTCAATGGAATATAAAAAAGGCTAGGAAAAAGAAAGTTTAATCATGTTTTTCTCAATGCTTACTTTAGATGCTGAGTTTCTTTGCTGAGATCTAGAGACAGTTCCCAGTACCGAGGCCCCTTCACTTTTACCTAAACAGAAAATAAAGGAAGTACAGTCCTTTCAGGATGTGTTGTACACTAAATTGGCTTTGTCTTCCACAAAGATTCAACAACTATGGTGGCTGAGAAATGCTGAACCTCATTTTACCTCTTTGAGAAGGTGAAGCTCAGGAAGGAGTGTAGGAGCCATCAGTTCTACTGTTGTCTCCTTATACCACTTAGATCCCTAGGGAGGAGCAATGATTTATCATTAGAACAGCAACAATAGCATGTTTTACTGAGAGTTGAGCTCAGAGCTTCTTTCTCTGCAAGAAGTTAAGGTCCGATTTCTAGATGGAGAAAAAAAAAATTTTAAAACTGCATCAAAATATAGTCAATGGCGAGAAATATCACAAGAAAAAACTATGGATGGTGATTTACCGTATTTTCTGGACTAAAGAGCGCACCTCACTATAAGCCGAGCTAACAAAGTTTTTTGAAAAAACAGGAGACCTACATATATAAGCCGCCCCGGACTATAAGCCTCTGATATCTACTGAATTGTCTCCCACCAAACCTGTAGGGGGAGCTCTACATAAAGCCCCTAGAGCAGGGACAAAGAAGAATTCTAGCTCCTGTTAGCTTGTTGGCTCGCAGCAATAAGAGCTTCTACTGAAAGATGGGGCTTCATCAGCTCTTTAGATCAGCTCTGCTAGAGTTGAACAGATTCTCTTCATTGGTGCGACAGAAAAAAAAAATGTGTGAATTCGTGACATTTGTTCTCAGTCGTGCCTGCTGCTACCCTGTTCTTGTGCTCAATGAAAATTAACCCCTTCATTCTAACCTGTGGCGGTTAGGGAAAATCCACAGAACAGCCGCAACATCTTATAAGCTGCATGGTTCAAAGCATGGGGAGAAAGTAGCGGCTTATAGTACGGAAAATGCAGTTATTTTGCTAAATAGAATAATCAAAAAGAAAACTGGGGTGTGGACAGTACAAACTAAGAGTTAACATAGGGAATCTATAAATCAAGTGAACTTTAGCGCTTTAACGCCGATTTATACTTCGAAACTAGGTCAACTGTGTAGGTGTCGCAGTAAACAAAAAGACGTCCCCTCCCCCTCCGCAGACACTCTACTGCACCTCTCCCAAATTGTAGGTGAATGCAGACAGCGCCGCAGACAGGAGGATGTTGTTTTGTTTTTATGATCGCAACTGCTGAAAACAACTCGTGAAGTTTGACCAGCTAGAAGAGCGAGGTGCGCAAGAACGCTAGGACCCTTTTTCCACCTGGATTCCTGCTCTTTTTCGCCCTAATGTCCCTCCATTGTCGGACAAACTTGCCCCCACTTCCTCATCGCCTCGGCCGTATCTAGACCCACAGCGTATAGCACAGACCACGCTTCAATATTGGGCATAAATAAAAAATGTCTGCGTCAGACTCACTGGGACACACTGCTGCGGGAGTATAACCAGCCCTGGATAAGATGTTAACTCTTAAGCTTTTCGTCTCTCCTAAAGATTCAAATTGAGATTCAGCTCTGTAGTTCAGAACTAGATTAAATAGATTTGCCAGTAGAGAGTGATGCGAAAAACAAACAGCAACCTCTGCTTCTAAGAATCATGCTTTAGCTGTAGAACTACCACACTAAAAAAAACTCCTAAATGTTGCCTGCTCAGTTTTTCTGAGTCTTCTGTGTTTGTAGCAAAATTTCAAGCAATAGAGTTTAATTATTTCAGCCATAAGCTTTATAAGTTGTAATATTTCAAGATGCTTTCATCTAAACAAAATGTGTCACAAAAAGCCCAACACAAAAAAGGTGAGAAATTGAGTGACACATTTACCGCCGCGATGCTCTCGCTTTCTAACCATTTTGTAACAAACTGCAAATGTTTAAATAATTTGTGATAAAAATCGAGGGGAAAGAATTTACAAATTGAAACAAAATATGTCATTTTTATATACAGGTGAAAGCACAGGGGGAAAGAGGGTAATTATGAGATGACGCACATCAAGCAACAGTGACGTGCAGAAAGAAGCCGACAACAAACTGGGTGACACTGAACACAATAGGCTCTGTACTTTGACACTTTGGCTTTGTGTATGGGTCTTTACACTAGAAACCTTTTCAAACAATTCCCTTTTGAGGAAATATATAAATAAATGCCTTACTGCGTATTCAATCAGATTTCAGTTCCTCAAAACTAAAACAATAAGTGGTTAGTAAGCATTGAGTTTTTCCATTGAACGAGAGGGAATTTCTTTCACGTGTTCCGTGATTTCAAAGAATTAACTTCACATCTATTTAAGGAGACACCATCACGTAGACCTAAACGCATTTCTTTAGCAAAGCAAACATTTCCTCTTTGTCAATGTTTAGAATATATTATCTTTAATCATTCTACAAGGAGAGGAGAGCAGATTAGCTGATAGAGTACAGAGAAAAATGGCCACAAATCCCCAAAAGAAATGAAGACAAATAAATCGCGACTCAAAGAGATATTTTAAGACTTTTATTTGTTGATTAAATTAATGTGGATGCTCATATTAGAGTAAATTAAATATAAATATTGACAAGAAGCAGATTTTTATGTCTGTTATTAAAATGGTTTAAAGCTGGAATTCAACAATAGATTGCAGCAAAATCGAACAGAAATCATCATTTTATTTTATTATTTAAACATGAAAGGAGATTATATGGCTAAAATGATTTTAGGCGACATGTTGGCTGCTTTTTAGAAATATTATCAGCAAGCACTGCATGTTATAAAAGCAGGTTTCCCACAACACTTACTTTTACATTGTATGTCTTTTTCCACCAGAGAAAATAAAACCCTGGATTTGTGTTATGCTGATATCAAAGGAGAATAAACCTCATCTCCCTAGCTCTACCCTTCCTGTTCAAAGATATCTTGTGACAACCAGTCTGGACCTGCAAAGTAAAGAAATGGTCAAAAGAAGATGAGGAGGCTCTTAAAGACTGTTTTGACTCAACAGTGTAGGAGGAATTATGTGATTCTCTGGGGGAGGTTATTGACGGCTTTAAATACCGCATCACTTATGTTAATTTTTGTGTGGAGATCATCATATAGTCCTGTGCTCAGCAGGACTAGATGGGGTTTCTCCAACAATAAACAATGGGTTTATCCAAGCATAAGGCTCTTTTTTTTTTTAGAAGAAAAAGATGGAATTTAAGTTTAGAAAAAGGGACAAGTTGAGGGCTTCAACGAGAGAGTAGTGGAGGGAAAATTAGAGAGGAGCTGAGGCACTGAAGCTCAGCTCACAGTTATCCTCTGTTATTCATTAAGAAAGTGCAACCCCCACTCCTAAAACCCCCAACACAATCTCCCTGTTCTATACAGCTAAACAATTGAACTCATAATGATTACCTTAAAGGGCTGGTTAGACTCCGCGCAGCAGTGTGTCACATTGAGCTGGACGCAGATATTTGATTTATGCTCAATATTGAAGCGTGGTCTGCACTATGTAATTCCACGTCACAACGCAAGAGGGACAATCACGAACTAGCAGTGGGGTTAGATACGGCCGAGGCGGTGATTGTAGTGGGGGCAAGTTTGTCTGACAACGGAGGGACATGAGGGCGAAAATGATCCAGGTGGAAAAAGGGTCCCAGTGTTCTCACGCACCTCACTCTTCTAGCTGGTCCAATTTCATGAGCCGCTTTCTGCAATGGCGGTCATACAAACAAAACAAGCTGGTAAGATACCAAACAGGAAATACGCATGAGTAGAGCGGATGTAGATTTGACCAATCAGAGGCCTCCTGTCTGCGGCACTGTGTGTGGTCACCTACAATTTTGGAGAGGTGCAGCAGAGTGTCTGCAGCAGGGGGCGGGGACGTCCCTGCGTTCACTGCGACACCTATGCAGACGACCTAGTTTCAAAGTATAAATCAGTCTTAAGAAAGGCCTTAGCTCCAGGCTCCTTACGCTCAGTGAGACTGCTGCTTACATGTTTCATCTAAGATTAAGGGTGGGGCAGGTACCAGTAATGGAAGACTTTCTTTTGTGGAACCAGTCCAAAGACGGTGCATCTCATGGACCCCAGCAGCTATAACCTTGCAGCATTAACATCTAACCAGATAAAAACCCTGGGTAGGTTGGTCAAGGTCCATCTTCGCTCTCCATCGACCCCAACCATGAGACAGCTTAAGTTTGTCTGCCAGCAAGGCATCAGTGTGGACGATACTATAGAATCCTTTTCTCCAACATTGGGCATTTTCGCATCCAGAAAACCCTGGAAGTACTGTGTAATTTCAATACATAACAGTGGACTATCTTACTAACAGTCCTCAGTTTGGAAAGACCAGGGTTTGCATGACGTGACAGGCAATATAGGGAGGTGATGCAGGATGTTTTGGACTGATGCTGGAGAAACTGAAGGTGGAGGAAAACCAGGGCCATCCATACCTGCAAGTAGGGGTGGGCGATATATCGTATATACTTCATGTATCTCGAGTTTCCCCATGCATAATAGTTAAAATCACTATCGCAACCATCAAGTACAAATTCAGCACATAAAGATCAATGTAAATAGTTTTAACTTAACTTTAAAGACAGTATTTTATCTTTTTTTTTTGTAATTTGAGGTTAATTTCTTTTACATTCTGCATTTTTTTTAACATGCCCAAAATAGCCCTTTTTTATTTTACATTTTATTTACTATTGTTTGTTTTGCCTTCGTTTTCTGGTTGGTTGCTGGGATCTTGTTAAAGGTCTAATACTGTCACCCAAAGACATAATATGGCAGTATTATTGGTGAAAAGCTTTGAGCTGGTTACAATAAAATATTTTAAATTTGAATGAGTATATCACTGCAGTTTTATGCACTCTAGTTCTCTACCTTCAAAAACTATTGTTTTTGAAGGTAATTTAAACATATCGTGATACACATCATGTATCACGATTATAGCTCAAATATATTGTGATATTAGATTTTCTTTATATTGCCCCTACCAGAAAGCATTCAAAAAACGGATATCGAGATGCTGACATCCTGTAAGTACCTGGGTGAGCACTTGAACCAACAATAGAGGGGACAATCAACAGTGAAGTGTTTATAAGAAGGTTCAAAGCAGGTTTTATTGTCCTCAGTAGATTAAGGTGACATCAGCTGTTTTCTGAAAAGTGGCCCACTGGAAAGTGTTGATTTGGCATTAAACAGAAGGAGGCTGTACACACCAATTTAAAAAGCCAGATTAGTTATAGGATGTTCTCTGGTCACTGTGGTGGAGAGTGGCTCTCTTTGATGGTGAGATCACAGACACCCTCCACAGGACTGTCTGCCCTACAAAGTCTCTCCAGTGGCAGCTTGAGGCACCCTGGGTGCACAAACATACATTTTTGTTGCCCTCTTCTCACTGCAGCTTTTAGACTTTAAAACAGGGCGATACAGCAGCGGCTGAACTGAGCTGGGTCTGAATTGGGAGTCTTGTTGAGGCTGCACTTGCAATCACTGCAAGTTCTTTGGTAAATAAATAACTACAGTCAATTCTCCAAAAAGTATATAGATTGTTTATCTTATTTCTGTTTTTATCTGCTACTTTTTCTTCTTGTGAAGCAAGTAAAATAATAAAATTCTATTCATGTGAACTGACCTTAAAAGTGACTTCTAACAGCGCATAGCAAGGCTTCAGAGAGTCTACGTCCACAGGAACCAGAAGCCGGGGTTCTGCAGCCAGCACGGCCAGATGCCGCAGAGCCTGGAGGTGGTAGCTACAGAAACAGTAAAACGTACCAAACACATAAAAAATAATGCATCTATTGTATGCAATGTATTGTATACAATGAGCAACAGTTACTTCAGCACATGAAATTGCGATGTGGAAAAAAATAAAGGTGACGGAATGTAATTGCATAAAAAGTCTGGAGATGCTTATTTTGTGTCACAATCAGTCAAATTTATCCAGAGCTAAAAAATGAAGACAAACTAAATCTATACAGTCTCTGCAAGAACCATATTAGTGGTGTGTTAATATATAGGTTAGATGCCATTTGCCAGTGACTTCAAAAAGGCGTTGGGTCTTACCGGTTGTCTGTGCTGTGAGCAGGAAAGTGAGGGTACAAGGCGCACAGTAAGGCAGCGATGGCTGAGTTGGAAGTGCTGAGGGTGTATCTATAACGAGAGGCAACGTGAGCAATTTTGAGAACAATTTTCCTTCAATCTCATGCAGATTTTCTGTATCAAAATGATTCATTTACACTCAGAACAGCAAACATGTTTATAGTGAAGATAGAAACATAAGCCCAGTGTCAGACTTCTTGTATCAGAAGGAAACTATTTTACATTTTAAATCTCCATCTTTAATTAAACAAGCTGGTCCAATTTAATCAGCAAAATCAAAGGCCACAACAGTCCCTCTTAAACATAATGACCGACATAATGACAGAGTGTGCGCTTTAGCTAATTGGATCATTATCCTGAAGTCAGGCTGCACAATGGAAAGCTGCTAAGGCTTTAACAGGTCACATCTGAGAGTGTTTAGTAAAAGTTATCTGAGGTAAAGAATGTCACTCTTCTTTTAATGTCTGTTTGCATGGTTCATGTATTTACAGAACATTTCAATTTTCTTTCAAGCCTACAATTAAATATGAAAATCAACGAAAGGGTATTTGAGCAAGAGCTTCATCGAAAACTGACACCAACTTCTAATGGCTGCTTCACTGTTCTTTGGGGTGTGGGGAGCTGACGACAACAAAAAATGCACACACAAAAAAACCACAACTTCTTCTTTAAATCCACATGGAGCCAACAACATGAATGTGAAGTAGGTTTATTCTGTAATAACTGCTACATATAAAGAGGGAAGTTTTTGTTTTCGGTTGCTTACCAGGCTTTATTAAGGATTTTATGATTAAGCCCCTCCACTCAACTGCGCAGTATTTGCATATTTAGAGTCTAAAAACTGAAACATTATTCCTTCCCATCTCATAACTAACGAATTTTTGACTTTTTTCCTTTTTGCTGTGAACATATAGACCTCTAAAGTGACGCAAACAGATGCACAAAGCAATCAGAGTTCAACTGTAGTTTATTGCAGGTTGATCAATGACCAGCAGGAAAAGCTCCAAAATCAAACATTTTCTGATCAGTGAGCACACGGCATCCAAGGCTGCATTAACACTCCTCAATGTGGCTGCTATCATCAAGAGTGCATGTGTTTAAAAAGGCACAAGAGCTGTACAAAGCTGACATGTTGAGAAACAAAACTTAACGCATTAGATAGAATGGCTGAACAAATAACAGCATATTTGCTATATTTTGAGCGCTTAACCTTCTGTTCTTGAACATGCCGGGTTTGAAAATGTTGGCAAACCTTGTGAAATCTTGAACTCAAAATAGCTAAGAAACATAGGCAGAGTCCAAGTTCTTTAAGCTAACCACAAATAATGCTAACATAAAGAGTTAGAGAAAAATTCAAAGGAGCACAGCCACATTATTTGAGATCCTTTTTAATGATACACCAGTAGCTCACTCTGGTAGCATGCAAAGATTTTCTGAAAGACTGTCGTGTCTAGGGATTGGGAATCGTTAATATTTATTGATATCGATACCTTTATCGATACTCCTTATCGATCCGAGTCTTTATCGATACCACTATCGATACTTTTCTGTTATTTGGTGGAAAGACGATGCAACAATATTTTTTAACAGAACTGGTATTGCTTTTATTGCTTAACAAGTGAGCATAACAAAAACGTTTCTAGCCTTCAATAAACATGGCTAATGTAATAGGCCACTTTGAAATGACATAAAACTAACTAGAATATATTTTCACAATTGTTGGTTAATGTATTGTCTACTGTCACTTTTCATCATGTTTTTAGTGATTAGGAAAATATTTAACAAATAAATAATTGTATTTTAAACTAAATGTAATTTTTAATAAATGTTGGCATCAGTAGTTTAATTATATATTCTAAAATAATTAGAGCAATTTACAACTGTATTACTCATGTTTCTCGCTAAAAACTCAATTTCCCATTTTCTTTACGTTACACTTGAACGCATCATGATAACCTAATTGTCGTTTTACTTAGCCAATCTGAACACATCATCACGCAGCACGTCTGAAACTTTATTTACTTTTCAAGCTAACTAGCTTGTATGCTGCCGATTACAAGACGGATTTCACAATTACTATTTTTAACTGACCGGACAAGCTACAAAGTCTGTGTGCGCGCTTACCAGTGGTACTCTGAGTGGATGATGAAGACGGGCCCGGCTGTGGTGCGGGGGCAGGAGGAGGAGGAGTCTTTTCCGTTCAGCCATTCTCAAGTCGCGAGCAAAGTTAAGTGCCAGACTTCACTTGTTTTACTTTAAATATCTGTTTGCTTACAATTTCATTCCAAAACATTAGTGGACATGCTGCAGTGATCGGATTGATTAGATTTAAATGCTGTGACGCGACTCGAGACACACACAATTATGTTACAGGACCTCCGGGAGAAAAAAAAAAACGACCAGACTCGATAGTGGTATCGATAAGCCCAAACGTTATTGATTTTCGGGTTTTGAAAAAAGTGGAACCGGGTCCTTGATGGAACCGGGTTTCGATCCCCATCCCTAGTGGTGTCCTTCTGGCATATTATTCGTCTTTGTTGTGGTTAGTTTTTTCATAAATAAGGCACTTTGTGTATATTTACGGAACATAAATATAATCTAGGAAAAAAAAAAAATCCCAGGTAAATGGATTTCTACAAAATAAATTCAAGTCTATGGATCAATTTCTATCTAGTTCTATTCTTTCTGCACTTCTGAAGAAATATTGCCAAACTATAATGATACAAAGCAGGGTTTCACCTTAACCTCTGGCTTTTTAAAATAGAAACTAAAGAAAATTCAGCGGTGACTGCAGATCTGGACATCATGCATGACTTTTAGAGAGATAGGGCAGTCGACTTTCACTTTAGTTTCCCTTTTATAGACCAAATAATAGGAAGAGAAATTTACTGAGCAAACAGAAACAGAGGAAGTGAGGAAAAAAAGCGCTGAAAGCATGCGAGATAAGCAATGGAAAATAAGCAAAAAATAACTGCAGGGCATAAAAAATGAATGACAACAGTTGCGTGTGTGTGTAGAAAGAATATCTGAATAAAAAAGTTAAATGCGAATAAGTAAGAGGCTAAATGGCAGATAAACAGAGAGAAAAGATGGAGTGCAAGAATGATGGCCTTCCAGTATGACCTTTCACCTCTGCAAGCCCACATTAACCACACCTCAGTGCATGACATTCAAACCTGCAGCCCCTGCAAATCCGTGACCCTTGACCTGATGAGTCTACAATGAAGTAGAACAAAAAGAAATGAAAAAGTCCATCAGATTACTACTCTGGTGGGGAAAGCATTTGCAACATCTAATGATAGTTTAGCCCTTGTTTCTGTTGAAAATATGCAGGGCAAGGTCAGCAGTTTGAGGAACCTGGTTAGGGTGTGTGAGAGTTTCTGTGTATAGATGTCATTCAAAACAATACTCAAAGCGGGTCTATCTCTGCAGCAATGACACACAATGCGTTTAAGTGGTCTACCTGATTCTTTCCCAAAGCAGCAGATGTAAATCTAGAGGGTGTGTGTTAATTTATTCTGCACCTTTGGTCCCAGTCTGTTTAGCAAAATTCCATAAAATACTTTTTTCTGTATTCTTTTTTTAGATGGATTTTAATCATATTCCACATGCAACTTTTTGCATGATGCATGATTGCCGGATGCTATAAACAGGAAACGTTTACGGTTGGTACTGTAAACATTTTATCTCATTAGACAAACAGAATATGATTAAATGCATTTATTGTGTGTGGGGAAGCTGCTGTATATTATGGGCCAATTTTATGCCAGGTTAGTTTACATTTTAGCAGTTTTTGTATTTGTATAGTTTGGATTATATGCAGTGACAGACAGCTGGAGCTGTACAGTGCATTTCTAAAAAAAAAAAAAAGACTAATAAATTTGAACTTTCATCTTCACTTTTATAGTTCCATATAGGCAGTGTGAAAACATGGCCGCCAGTTTTAAAGTAAGGTACCACAAAGTTGCTTCACTGCCAGATCTTTTCAGATCAAATATAAAGAAAAAGAGCAAAATAAATATATGATAAAAGCACAGATTTCAAATGATTAAGCCAATATTTTTGTAGCATGTTTAACCAAAGGATATTTAAATTTCTGTATACTTTCTGTATAATTGAAAATAACTTCCCCTTCAATGACAATTAGATGATTTCCTTGAGGATCATTTAAGGGTATTGGAGACAATGTCGTTTATGGTTATTGCATTTATCTCACCTGCCACCCCCCAGGAAGAGAAGGCCAAGAGCCATGTGATGTGCCATGTGAAAGCCGTAGTTCATCTCGCCACCGGTTCTCTTGTGAAAGAAGCGACAGAGCTGCAGGACCTTCAGGTTCCCCGTGCCGGCCATGACCATAGACATCGCCAGCAGAATCATTGACAGGCAGGTTTGTAGGTTATAATAACCCATCTGCTGAAGGGACCAGCATGCAAGTCACAGCAAAACAGAGCAGAGTTTCCATGACTGGGGAAAAACAGCAGCCAGTAGAGATGATCGAAGGAGAAAATTTAAATAAAGACTTACAGCACCCACAGTGGCTGTACCGGCAAAAGACATTATCCTCATGAAGGACCTGGCGAACTCATAAAGGCAGTCGAAGGCATCAGAATTGGCAGAGCCGGCAAAGCGTAAACCTAAAGCCATACAAGCCCCAGCTGTGATGTAGTCTTGGGCTTGACTAAGAAAAACAAATAATATTTAACACAAAACCAAGCTTCAGAAAATATATTATGATGATAAAACATTTCTATAAATACAAAAAGACAGTCAAAGTTGCATGTTTATGTTTAAAAATAATTCTGAAACCCTAAAATATAAAGCAATAAAAACAAACAGCTCCAGTCTCAGAATAAATTGGCTGAAGTACTTACGCCATTGTGTCAATATTAATGTCTTCTGAGGGGTCAAAATTACCCCTCATGATCTAAAAGCAAACAAATTCCAATTATTTTAGTTTTGCTGGTACTCCTATAAGCTGATGATAAGATTATACCCTTTCGTTAACATTTATAATAGAACAGAACATTACTGCATTAACATTATATCAGCCTGCATGTCTTCATGCATTTTTAGCGCTGAGAGATCATTGAAATAATTAATCTAATGCAACTAAACAACTGTCTTATTGCTTAGCAATACAGTATGTAACTCAATTTTGTTAAAAACAGGATGCTGTGGTTCATCCAACCAACCAGATTCTGATGCATTTCAATCTAAAATGTCTTAAGGTATCTTTATTCTGAAGGCCCTGAGACATTTTCTACAAACAGTTTAAAGATTCAGAGATATAATGCTGTGTATGCAAGATTTTTACTTTATATGCTACATTTCTAACTTCATGGTCATTGTACGTGTGTAATAAAACTTTAATTTACATGCCTTACACCCCCACTTTTTTTCATTTCTTCACTTAAATTAATGAAAATTTGATGCGTCAATTTCACAGACTGCTTTGTACAAGAAATCATCTTATGTTTTAATTTCTTCATTATGGAGACATTTAACTACAGAATATATAAATGTAAAAAAAAAAAAAAAGCGAACCAATTTGAGTTTATAACACATTTTATAGCAACTCCCTGCCAGCTTTAATGCTACATCTATGTATTTTCTCACCTGGGGTATGTTACTCTTAACCCACTCCGTGTTAGGCAGGATATCATCCCACATGATAATGCACCGGGCGAGAGTCTGTCAGAGAGGAAGGAAGAAGACAAGCAAGTATGTCAGACATAGGAGAGGTGGGAAAAATATCTCACTCATGAGCAGAGAAACACACAGCTGGCGTCACACTAACCCTCAGCAGCAGAAACTCGGGCTTAATGAAGTCCAGCAGAAACCAAGTATCTGGAGGTTTCAGCCAATCAGCAATCGACCTAAAGGAAAGAACCGGGATGAGAAAAAGGGAGTGTTAATACCCTCCCTCAACACCCTCTCCACCAACAGGCAGACAAAGTCGGACGTGCCTTGCAGAAATTAGGAACCTCTTGACCAAATATACAGTCAGGAGGTGGTGGAGTCTGCTTCTCTCATCAGGTTATGATGCTCTCAGGTTCACATGGATAAGAGCAAACTGAATTTGGCAAAAAAATAAACAAACCTGGAGTTTTAGTATTATGTCATTTACAAAAAATAAATCCAATTAGACTGGAGTTGCAAGTATGTTTATTTGTGCAGCACATTTTTTGCTCTGCATTATATTCAAGCTCCTTATTTCTTTTTTTATTTAGAAACATTTAAAATCAGAGATATCTTCCAGGAAACGATGCTGGAGCTAAGTTTAGAGTCAAAGCAGAGCAAACAAAAATGACAAGGTGCCACAAGACAGAAGATCGTTAGCAGTATTGTAACAGGAATAGATATACCGGAAATGTGATTCTTTTATTCAACAAACAGGCTACTTAAAAAAAGAGCCACTGCTAAGATTTATTTTAACCCATTTCATGTGAAGAGTGCAGAAACTTATTTTGCCATGTTATAACCATAAACCTGAATGAACTCTGTTGAAAGTTAATAATAGAGATTAACACAAAAAAATCATAATGAAAGACAAAACTGTCTAATTGTAAAACATTTCTACAAATAACCTGAAATGTTTGCGACGGATTCCCTCTTATATAAATTCAATCAACCAAATTTAGTAGGGGCCTAATCAGTAAATGAATAAATCCTATGAGAGCCTCTTTATTACGACTTTAATAAAGATAGTGGAAAGGCTGACAGCTAGCTAAATTTCAAGCCATTAGTGACCTTACACTGCAAAAATTCCCTCCTAAATTAAGTGTATCTACCCTTAATATGAGCAGGTTAATAAGATGATTTGCCAAATCAATGAGATTTTTATTCTTAAAATAAGATAATTACTTGAAATAAAACAAAGCAATTTTTTTTTTGTTTTTTTTTTTAGATGTAAATTAACTTGTTTCATTGAAAAAGTGTCTCAATTTCCTCCTCAATTCAAGAGGAAATGTACTTATTTTAAGAAAAAATAAGTTATCTATAAAATTTTTCTATTAAACTTACCTTTGTTACATTAAAAAACTATGGATATTTTGATGGCAAAAATTAATGTCAATGTAATAACACAAGTGCTTCTATAAGAAATTGATGACAAACACTGAGAGTGAAAGAAACACATTTTATTTGGTCCAACATAACCTTAGAGGCATTAATGCTGATACTGGCACTTACATTTTTTATTTTATACACCTATATATAATTGTTAACTAGGCTTATTAACTTTTTAACTTTACTGTTTAACTTATCAATTAGCTTTTTACCTTTTTTCTTGACTTAACCTTTTTCAACTTAATTTATAGTAGGTAATATATCATTCAAGGGCTCATCTAATTGGTCAAATGCTAAAATAAGATGTACAGCCATGTAGCAGTATCTTTGCTGAATGACTGGATATAGATCTTGTGCTTCTAGACCTCACTGAGGGACAGGGGGACTCTGTAAGGGAATAAAAAACAGTAACTTGCCCTATAAAGGGTTAAACATGCAACGAAACTGGCGTTAACATAGAGTCCTGTTTGTAGTTTGCCAAAAGCCTTGTAAGGTAGCTCATGGAAATTAGGTTGGGTAAAAAGGAGCAGTCCTAGCTTAGAACCTTTAGGAAGCGACAAAAAAAGGTTTAGCCCCGAGGTGGAGGTTCACCTTCCATCAGGGAAACAATCGTAACCCTACCCTCTAGCAAGACTTGAAAAAAGGCTAAAAACTAATGCATCTTTTTTACTTTCATTTAGCAATCATGCTTCTTTGTCACAGATAATCCCCTGAAGTTTGTGGTTGTACCATAAAAATAAGACTTAAAAACATCAAAACAGTCCTAAAAAGTGTTTTGAATAAAAAACAAATCTGGTTTTATTTTATGAAATTAAAAACAATTGTTCCCACTTTCTTACCTGTTGTTGGTCTTGAGGTAGATCATGGCCAGGGCCAGCGTGGCTCCAGGACAAGTCACATCTACATTTATCGTATCACCCTCCTAAAAACGACAGTTAAAAAGCAATTATAATAGTACTTCCAAAATCTGTCTGATTTTTGTGATAAAAGCGTAATTTTGGCATTTGTACCTTAATTACTAATTAATGCTGAAGCTTTTTGTTTTTGCGTTCTTTTATCTACCTTGATCTGGTAGCTGGGAGACTTGTGCCTTTCCCTGTTAGCCCCTGCCTGAGCCCTCCGATGGCCCCCAACCATGTATTGGTAAAGCTGTTCAGGTACGTTGAGGTCTGTCATCCCAATCAGGTTACTGCCATGCTGGAAAACACAGAAAAAAAGGGTATTAAGGACAGAGAAGAAATTTATTATTAGCTGATCAGATAAAGAAATTTAAAACATAAAAAGGAAAAGGGAAAAAATATTAAAGGGAGATTGAACCTTGGAAATAGTGCTCCCTTAAACAACAAAACTATGGATAAATAGGAAGTCTACTGTCCAAAAATAATTCACATTCATTGTCATCACAAATCCTTAAAGATTTCTTTTTAAAAGAACTAATGAAATATGAAATTAAGGAATGAAATCAATGAACCATCTAACAAACATCTTACTGCTTATTTATTTACCAGCTGACATGTTTCTATAAAGTTACTCACCCCGAGACAAACCATGCCAAGTGCGAGTCCAGCAGCCAGTGAATAGGACTCCCTGTCAGTGCAGTACTCCATCTCTGGACCTGGGGGTCGGCCTTTAAAAACACAGACAAGAGTTAGCTTAACCTGATTGTAATACAACCAGAAAACTACCACTGCATGACGACAAGGAAAATTATCAGTCAACATATCCAATGTTTGATGTTTGGATAAAAAGATGATTAACTATTCAAAGAATTCAACTAAGTCTTGTCGTATGATTCTAATCAGCTGGTACCTTATTAAAGGTCATCTCAAGATTAACTTCACAATAAAACAGTTGTCTCTTTCGCTATGTCCCAAACAAATTCATCCATGTGTTCTTTATTATTACTCTCCTCATTCAAAAAAAATAAATAAATAAAAATCAGAGGCAGAAAGAGGGTCTTCTTGCTCCAAACCACTAATTGACATTGCACAGCAGTTTGCACATGTGTAAAAATACTAGCCATCCATAAGTTATTTATTAAAAAAGAAGCCTGCATTTAAAGTATTTGACACAGGTAGTGCTGTAATATTTGATTTTCTGTATAACAGATTTCAATCTGTTAAATATTGTGTTTGTGTTGGGAGGTTTATCATTTCTCCTTTTGACTGAATACTTACGTAATCAAGCACATCTGCATACAGACGGTTTTTTACAAATATTCGTAAAAGAATGGGTTGCTCTCAGCTCAGTGAATTCCAGGGTGGATCTGTGATCGGATGCAACCTGTGCAACAAATCCACTCGTGAAATTTCCAAGTTTCTAAATATTCCACAGTGAATTATCAACTGTATCATAATGAAATGGAAAGGTTTTGGAAACCACATCGACTTAGCCAAATAGTGGTAGGTCACGTAAACTAACGGAGCAGGATAAGTGGATGCTGAAGCTGAAAGTGTGAAGATGTCGAGCGGCTTTCTGCATAGTCGATCGCTACACACCAACTAACTTCATGTGGCCTCCCAAGTAGCTCAAGAACAGAGAGCTCCATGGACTAGGGTTCCATGGTCCAGCAGCTACATCACAGCCGTACATCACAAAGTGTAATGCAAAGTGTGTATTTACCCAGCAAAACTTCCATGAGTTCCTTTAGTCCAAAGTGGTATAAAGAACAACTTCACTGGACTCCAGAGCGGGGGAGACACTAATCACCCCTCTTTATCTGGAAATCCGATGGATGAGTCTGGGTTTGAAGGTTGCCAGGAGGATTTGTCTTTGTAATTATGCAAAGTGTAAAGTTTGGTGGAGGGGGTTGTTGTGGTACGGGGTTGTTTTTAAGGAGGCGGGCTTTGACCCTTAGTTTCAGTGACTGGAACTTTAAATGCTTCAGCATAACGTAACATTATGGACTTTTTTCCAGAACTTTGTGGGAACAGTTTGGAGCTGGCCCCATCCTCTTCCAACATGACTGAACACCAGAGCACAGAGCAAGCTCCATAAAGGCATAGATAGCAGAGTCTGGTGGATGAAATTGACTGGCCTGCCTTGAGTCCTGTCCTCAACACAATAGAACACCTCTAGGATGAATTAGAGCCGAGACTGAGCTAGGCCTTCTCGTCCAACATCAGTGTGTGACGTCAAAAATGCATTGTTTGAACAAAATAAACCCAAAATAAACCCACTCCTAAACCTTGTGGACAGCCTTCCCAAAAGAGCTGAAGCTGTTCTAGCGGCTAAATGAGGATTAAAGCCAAATTGAGCCCTGATGGATTAGGAATGGGATGTCACTGAAGCTCATATGCGAGTCAAGGCAGGTGAGTGATCTCACAATCATGATGATGATCAGTTGTTCTAATACTTAAAAATGAACTGCATTACTAGAATGCCCAAAGAAATGTACACCTTGATAAAACAGAACTTCTTTAAGTTGTTCAGATATTTACCGACAATTACTTTAAAGAGCATAGCTCATCCAATCATGCTACACATTTCTGTCAAGCAAAACCTTAGAAATTTTAGGTTTACACTCAAACATATCACTAAAAGCTATTTTTATCATCGGAGACATATTTCCTACAGAGATCGTTGGTGTCATAACAGAAGTCTATGATAGTTATTTGTAGTTTTATAACGTTCCATCTAGACTCCACTTTTAAAATACAGCAACAACAAAAAACATCCCCTTGATCGCCCTCAGTTGTTGTAATCCTCTACAGGAAGAACCAATAAAAGGGTAAAAAGTTTACCAGGTTATTCTAAAACCGTATGTTAACATTCAGGGTTTTGCTACTTCCTATATTCGAAAACTGTTAAATCCACATAGTCCAACAAAATCATTCAGATCCTCAAATTGAAACGTACAAATGCTGCCAAGGCATAAAACTTGAGAGAATCGCTCTTTCTGGATTTCTGCTTCTTAACTGCTTAAACATCCTACAAGACTACAAAAAACATTTCTGTATTCTGAGCGTTGCAGTAACTTCAGCCACCCTTACTTTAATTATTGGGTACTGTTAAAAACCTCACAAGTGATTTAAAGCTACAGTGTGTAATTTTCAGCGACATCTAACGTCCAGACTGCAGCAACATGAACATCTCCCCCCCACCGCTTCTCCCCCCCAACAGTTACGTTATTATATATCCTATGTTATTATAAATAACCAATTCTAAGGCAACGCAAATATTAAGGTTAAGAGGCTGAGCTCGTAGATGATGATAAATAACATAGTTATGTATAATATATTACATTTCTGACTGTATATCCCTGTAATTATTACACACTGTAGCTTTAAACTTAGCTTCTTTGGCCAATATATAATGTTACCTTTTTTTTTATCTCAATATTTTTTTTTTTTACAAAAAACAAAGGGAAACATTTACCACCTAGTTCATTGACTTTCTCTCTAGAAGTCTGATAATTAAGCCATTTTAGCTATTTCACTGAGGAATAAAATCCAGGCTTTCCTGACCAGCTTACTTTACAAAAAACGTCATTTTCTAATTATATTTACCAAGAAATGATCAAAGGCTTTCCCTCAGATTCTTCATGTCCTTCACATAGCTGCATTTCTCATAGGTTTGGAACGTTTTTCATCCGATCCAATACAGAGATATAAAATCTATATCAATGTCAGATTCTTTTAACTGTACAAAACTATTTAAGGTTAAAAATTTTCATTTGTCATCTCTGCTTCTACAGAGGAGAAATGCACAGACCTATTTCAGACAGCAAGACCTCAGCGTTGTGTCTGTGTCCTGTTCCCTGGTACACCAGCCCAATGCCAATGACAGCTGCAACCTGCAGGACAGACAGGCAGAAAATACAATGACCTTTGTGCAGTTTTGGTGAATGTTTGTTAATAATAAATAAAAAAATATGGACATCTTACTAAACCAAGAAGGAACTTTTATATGGACCATGAAAGACTTATCTACCATGCAGTCAGTCTCACCTGAACATTATGTGGCACATCCAGCTCAGTGGAGGTGGGTGGGAGAAGAGCAGGAATGTGAATGCTGAGCAGTCTGGTGATTGACATGTCCATGGTGCCTAGTTTAGCAGAAGAAACTCCCAGTAGGAGTCCAATACTGGTCATCTCATGGCCCTACAAGAAACCAGGAACCATTTTATTTTCACATGCCATGTATATAAATGTTTTTTCCACATTATTGATTTATTTTATACACATGTAAATATGGAAACAATGGGGGGGGGGGAAATGAAGGAGAGACAACAAAATGATGAAAGTAACAAAGGAAGAAAAAGAGTAGAAGTAAAAGATGAGACATGGAATAAAAGCACAACAAACAGAAGGAGTTAAGAAGAATGAAAAAGACAATATATGAATGAAGGAGCAAAAAATACATTTTGGAATACTCTCCACTAGGGCTGCAACTAATGATCATTTTGCAAATCGATTAATCGATTACTGTTTAGATTAATAATCTGACAGCCAAAAGTTCCTTAAAGAGGAGTTTTTATGAACTCAAACCAGGTAAAACTAAAACTTTTCCACTTGAGGATTTCCGGGTAGAGCATATTGACAGAAAAAAAAAGTTTATTATCTTTTTTTTTTTTTTTTCTGAAATGCATTATATATATATATATTTTTTTTTTTTTTTTTTTTTTTTTTTTTTTACAATTTTATATATTTACTGCTCTAAGTGGGTTGCTCTGTATGGTAAAAACATATTTTAGAGTCTCCATACTCCAGTTAACAATTAATTGATTACTAAATTAGCTGATGATTATTTCAAAGTTCGATTATTTACGATTAATCTGAATGTCTCAGCTCTACTCTCCACACTTATCCACACCCAGAAGATAATGAACTCAAACTAAATAGTTTGCAGAGAGATCGCAGGAACTCCGTTATCAACTTATTACAGAGTCCTGCTAAATGGAGCCCATGCAACACTTAGGGGAGATTGTTAAAAATGTATAAAGCATAGTAGATAAGGCTCCAGTAGTGAGTCTGGTCTATACATTTGTCAACAGTCTACTCATTCAAATACATTTTGGCTCATCAACACTTGCTTTGTTTTTTGTTTTTGTTTGTGAGTTTGAATTTCTAAATTAGTTGGTGAACATTTATCTTAAGGCTCCACACATCAGATCATTTAGTAGTTTAATTATCTAAAACCTATAATTAACCCGTTAAATCAACCGAACTCGATGTTCAAAGATTAAAGTTCCAGTGTGTTAAATCAGCAGTGATGCACTGCCGACTTCTTGCTTGTAAAATGTAGTTAAACCCTAGAGATTAGGAACCTGAGAACACAACTCGAAATTCTCTTTAAAACCACACCAACGCACAGTTCTAACAAACTCTTCGTTTGCATATCAGTGTCTTTTTTTTTTTCTTTTTAGCGAAAGTTGAAACCAAAAGAAAACCACCAAATACGGAGGAGCTTCGCCTGTCAACCATGTTCACAACTTTCATTCACACTGTTGGCTTTTCACTTGGATTGAGCTGTTAACATCCCAACTTTGTGAATCAATAAAATGATCCTTTCCTCATTGGTTTAATATGTTTTACAAAAGCTTGTGATGTATTTTCATTTATCAATATTCTTATGCCATCTACCACAGCATGGATGTGCATTCAGACCAGCAGTATGTGGACAGGAAGTCAGCAATGCCGATCTCAAATTTAAATTTCACTTGCAAGACAAACCCACCGTGCAGCTTGCACGAAACCTGGCTGAATAGTTGCATGTGCAATTTTAGTACAGTCAATTCTTTGAGGGGACCTTCATGCATTATACATATTTTCACACAAATGAGTCATAGGGGATGCACATTGACAATTACTATTAATTTCACATTCTGAATCAACATGGAAATGAATCTTAACTTCTAAATGGGCACCTGGCTTTGATACATCATAGTGGCTCTTGTAGTAAAATACAAGAACCACTGAGTTTTGTTAAGCAAAAATAAGATTTTGACTTGCAGCATCCTGTTTTTCTGCCCTGAAAGTGGGAAAGGCTCATCTTATTTCTAATTTCTCAGAAGCCAGAGTTTCAGTTTGACTGATGTAGGTTTACAGTTCTCATTTACGCACATCTGAAGAGAGGTGAGCATGTTGTTGTGTGAGTGCAAGTAAATGAAAGCAGCATCTTTGTGACCGCCATTCTCTGTAAGTTGGTGCATTTAATGTGTGCTGTAAGTTACAGATGCAACAGTAATTCAAAGCTACCTCTAGGTAACCCCCAGCAAAATTAACAGTAAAAGAAAAGTCAACTAAAGAAAATTACATATTTCAATTTAATGAGCTAAAATTTCCTTTATATCAAAAAATTATCACCTTTAAAGTGTAACCATTTTTAACTTTAATTGTTATACTGTAATTTTTTCTGAGCACAAGATTCAACATTTTTAGAGACAATTTGCTCCCCTCAGTTTCTTCTTCTTATTTTATTATTTGTTAGGTTCTATTGCGGTTTTACAAAATATCACAATTTCAATTTTTATTGCGACCGGAAAAAAACAACCAATCTAAGTCCAAAAACTTTTTAATAAAAAGAATTTCAGTTTGTTTCTAAATTCCTCTTTCCTGCCTTTAAATTTTTTTTTCTTTAATGTTGGTTAATGTGTTTATAAGTTGATTAACGTTTGCTTAGGAAATAGTACTGCAAGTATTATGAGGATTTACATTGATATCAATACATTTCTAAAACCACTGCTGTAGGTACAGGAGAGCTTTAGAGCACATTATTTTTTTTTAAGCATGATTATACACATCAGTCCATGCCTGTCTACATGATTTACAGCTTTAGCAACAAAACAGAAAATGTTAAAAGCCTTTTGTGCAAACCTTGGTGAGGTAGTCATGTATGTTGAGCGTAGCCAGCTTAGTGAGGTGTCCGTTGAGGCCGAGGGCCATGAGAAAACCTGCGTACTCGTTAGCCAGCTCAGGACTCTTTGGCTTGTTGTATGCGATCCAGGCAGAGTCGACCTGAGGAGGAGGAGGAAGAGATCAACATTTTATCTGTAGAAGTTTTTATTAATTGAGAAGTCTTTTCATGTACTAGACACCAGCAAATTAGCAACTTGCTACATGGCCTATGATCACACATTGGTTACTGTATAAAGTAAACAGTTAAAGAATACCATTTAAGCCCATTTAATTTTTCAGTGATAGCCACATCTACTTGCTGTTAGATTTGTACTTAGTTCGGCTATTAGTTAAAATATTAGATTTAAAAATGTGAGGCTACTTCAAGAGGCCAATAGGTACAAAAAATTTTTAGTTAACCCCAAACATATTTGACTTAAAAGGCCAATATTTGCCATGTAAAAAACTAATAATCCACCATCCAAGTATTAATGCTAGTGCTTTTAAAGGAAGAAGAAAATGCAAAAAAAAAAAAAAATCAAGGCATCTCACAACAGATTATTTTTTAATTACACAAGAAAATGTTCCTATTTATTATTTAAGTTCAATCAGCTGTCTGTCAGTTCTGTTTAATGCTTTTAATAATCCCATGGAAGCGGTCAAGCTGTACTATGCTGTAAATGATATCCATAAACATGCAGAGAAATCAGATGGCTACTAAAATCCTCTTGATCAATTTCAACTGCTGACTGAGAAAGGCTGAAAAATCAATTCATTTTCTAAACCTGCGAAAACCTACTAACAGTGAGGTGCAAAAACTGTCACGTAGGTGAAAACTGTCAAGTTAAAACCACTCATTCAGGGCGCAGCAGTGGTTTAGGGGTTAAACGGGACACATGATCGGAGGGTTTGGTCCTCGACTCAGCTGTCGAAGGTTCAAGTTCTGGCCAGTTGACTTTTGCAGCATGACTTCCCCGTCACCCTAGTCCGATTTCCTTCCATTCCATCTTTAGAACCACTTATATTGACCACATACAAAATGAACAAAAAAAACTTTTTCTGAACACTGAAAGTGAAGGAACTCTTATTACCTGCTTTACAGGAAATTAATGTTTCTTTTTTTTTTTTTTTTTTTTTAAATGGAGAGAATAAGATAGTCAGATCAAACCTTTAAAAATGGTTTTGAGTTCCTGAAGTAGTTTTTAATATATATATATATATATATATATATATATATATTTATGAAAACAGTCCGAACCGTTCGGTTCGACTGTCTCGGTTCGGTTCGCGTGTGTTGCGTTCGGTTCAAGCGCTGCTCCATTTTCTCATAGGCGAAGCGTTTACACTCCAGAGCAGAAGGTGGCGGTACTGCGACCAAAGCCAACCGCCAGTAGTAAACAAGAAGAAGAAGGAGCGAAGCAGCTTAGCCGGGTGTAGCAGGGAAAAAAATCAGTTGTTGTGGAGAATTGTGTGGGTATGGCGAGTGGGAAAGAACAGGAGTTGGAAGACGCGCCAGCAGCACTTTATAGGTCTGCTGTATGGGACCACTTTGCATTTAGAGTGACCTACGATGACGGCGGAAAGAAAGTTGTGGATAAAAGTGCAACAGTGTGCAAGCATTGTGCAACACGTTTTGTTTATGCTAACAGCAACATGACCAACATGTCATGCTAAGCCCGAAACCCCACATACTCCGTCAGCGCTCCGCTACGCTCCGCCCCGCTGCGCTCCAGACCGCCTGCACAGAGCAAAGCCTACAGCCTCCACTGTGGCTCCCGTCCGCTCCGCTCTGAGTTCCTTGGAGATCGTAGAGGGCATGCGCGAGATGATTAAATTCAAAGCAGCAAAACATGCAGAAATGATCCAAGGTTTCCGCGGTGTAACAATAAACATATACCGAACCAAAAACCGTGACCACAAAACGTGAACCGAACCGTGGAAAATAAAAGTTTATAATATATAAAAATTTATCCAACTCTTATCACCAAGAACAGAAATTGGGTCATTCATTAAAAATACTTTTAGATTTTAGCTAAATTTAATATATTTTTAAAGCAGATTTGATCACACCAAACTCTGCTTTTGAATTAGTGTCTGCATAGCTGTGGCAAAAATTATTACAAAATTAGAGAGAAAGCAAAAATTGCGGCTATGAACGTTGTGTGCTAATTTAGATTTTAAATTGTAGAAAAAGAAATGAATTCATAGGTAAAAACCTTTCCCTAATTAAGTATGAAATGTCTGTATAAACCACGTGAAAAAAAGCTGGACTCACCTGTGAAGCAGGAGCTATTTTAAGTCCTGCTGCAACTCCGTTATGGAAACTGGGCCAATTGGTCATATTGGGAGGAACATCAATATTCCCGCTGTTGAGGTCCACCATAGCATTCCTGGGGGGTGCACGGCCTGGAGAAGAAAAAAAGGAAGCAGGTAACACTGTAAAATGAAAATGGATGGGTATGTAGAAGCCTTGAAACCATTCAAGGAAGATCAAATACCAATTACTGCCATTATCAGTCAACCTTTACTATCATTTGCCTTCAGGATGTGGAAATTCCATATGTTAAGAGAAAACTCTTGAAAGGAGCAAACACTTATGTAAAGAGATCATAGACCAATATCAGCATCATACCAGTAAGATTCAGTTTTGGTACAGGCAAAGGTTCAGTCGGTACTGGATGATAGGAAAAAAGCGTGAAGAGGCCTCTACCAACTGAAGCGCCATTGTTCTCTGACATAACTGCAAAAGCCTACGTAAGACAGAAAAGAACAAAACAAAGAAAAACAGAAATCACATAAAAATATATATAACTTTAGCTTTTGATCAGTATTATTTTCTTTAGTAAACATAACAAGTGGAAACAAAAGCATACCAAATCGTTTTCATCATGTTTTTAGACCAAACATCATATCATCACGTATACATTAGGCTCACTTGTTTTCTCTCTCCTCTATATACTCGTGGTCTGAAACTTCCGGTAGCTGGACAACGCTGACCCGGACCGGCCTGGAGCTCTGGAGTAACCTTCTGACTTCCTGAACCCTTAAATCCTGACTCCAGATCAGTCCTGTAACCTATCGAAGAACAGAAGATGATAAAGACCGAATCTTAAGAAAAACAAGAGAAAGCATTTATATTTAAAAAGGTGAAGAAAAAAAACAAAAAACAAACTTGAAGCGACATTCAAGTAAAACAAAAAAATCTAGTCACCTCATGAATAAAGTCTGACATCCCATCTTCCTCCTCATCTGCGTCTGTAGATGCAGGCGGGACCAGGGAGAATCCTGAACCTACAGACTGAAAACACTTAAAAGTTAGGGATGCACGATATTGGGATTTTGCCCAATATCTGATATGCCGATATTTTAAAACGCATGTAGCCGATAACCGATATCGATACTGATGTTAAAGCTGGACAAAAATAAGTAGTCATTGAAAATAGCAGTTTTGTTATCCATTTCTGACACTTTGAAAAATAATATACTCAAATATATTTTCATATGCTGATATCAAGTTGATTTTTAAAAACGCGGTATCGATCTATTTTACTTTCAAAATCTGGTAAAATTTCATCGTTCTGTTACAAACTCTCGTGATATTTTGCAAATTCTTGTGAGATTTTGTTAGTAAAATAGATCCATACCACGTCAATATATCAACATATAAAAATATGGCAAAATTTCGTGAATTTTCGGGGGATTTCGTAGCATAACGATGACATATAGCAATATTTCATTAGTAAAAGAGATTGATATGGTGTTTTTAAATGGCAATATATCAGCATATGAAGATATTGTGATATTTTAATTTATCAATATTTTTTCCCTTCGTCTTTAGAAGTTTTTAAGTCTGTAAAAAAAGTTTTTGAGGAAGAAGTAGTATTTTTTTTTTTTTTTTTTTTTTAGACTTTAGAAACTCAGAAGCTGATCAAATATCGGGTTAAATATCGGTGGGGTGGCCGATGTCCGATATTCAGTTTTAAGGCCGATACCGATAGGGGGCCGATTATATCGTGCATCCCTATTAAAAGTGTAAACAAAAAGTCTTCCTATAGAGACAGATGAAGCTGTTAATCTAAAAAGAATCCATTTGATGCTGTATTTAAAGGAAAAACAAAAAACAAAAAAACAAGCTGCTACAATATTACAATAGTACATCGAAGCCCAATTAGATGAAAAATTTTTATGCACTGGGATAACAATCAGGTTTTGTACTTTAGAGCACATTTTCAAAGCATTCAAAAATCCTGATTAGTATGATTGTGGTAGTTTTATGGTCTTTAAAGGTTAAATAAAGAAAAATGAAAGTTAAGACTCTATTGCAGACAGCTGCATAAAACAAAGTCTGATTGTTTTATGCTGATTTAATATAAATCTTAACTTACAGCTTTGTTTTTGGCCAGGGTCATCTTATGGGCTTGTTTGGTCAGGTCCTGTCGGCCAATCAGAAGACAGACTGCCTCCGGCCAGTCAGAGGAGGGCTGCTCACGACATCGATATATTGCCTCTCTGATTGGCAAAGCCACACCGAACGGGACCGACTCCAAGTCCTTCAATGTAAAGCCTACAACAGTGGAGAGGCAGGGATTAATGACTTGGTTATTTATAGTTTGTTAGCAACTGCAAAGAAAACATAAAACTGGTTTATGGCTTTAAAAGAGAGTTTAGAGAAACTCACACAACATCTATAACAACAATAATGATTAATTCAAATCAGGTCAATACTTGGGAATCAAAAATGTGAAATTTCACAAATAGCATTACCAAACACTAACAGGTCACCTATTCTAAGACCCAAAGTAACCACTTTAAAAGGGACATAAAGTGGAGCTGGTTAACTATTAATATCTGAGATTCTCAAACAATGAGAATTTTTCTGTTTTTGACACGAGTGGCCTTTATTTGACAGTAAATAGACAGGAGAGATAGTTACAAGAAAGGGGGGAGACATGGGAAGGCCTGGACTAGAAAACTGCACCAAATGGTAAATCAATCATGTGCTCTAAGTTTATCACCACAGCAGCACCCCATGATTTCTTCAATTTTAAACCAATGTTGAGAGTTGTTTAAAAAAGCAAAAACAAGCAAGTTTTGATTTACAAAAAACTAATTATTTTGCAAGAGGAAGAAAATAAATGATTTGGTGCTACTTTTTTCCTAAAACAGGGATGTTTTGTTTTTTATATACGTCTGTCCCTGCTATCCAAATACATTAGACTCTACTTACCATTCTTCACTGATGTTCAGTACAAACAGCATGCCTTTGTCACATTGCAATGAGTTTAACAAAGGTTGGGATGAGATGGGCTTCTTCGGATCCCCTGAGAAGCCCAGTTTTTCATATTCTCTTACATATGGGACAATTCTTGCTTTTCTGCCAATTAGTGAACATTAATGTTTTAGATCTCAGGATTACTCGTCGCTTTAGGTTCATTATAAAAGCTGCAAAACCCATTCTGCTTCCTCTATGTAGATGAAGCACAAAAAAGTGAAATAGAGCTTTTCCAAATATAAACACCTTCAAATCTGATGTTGAGACCAATTTCCTTTCCTTTCCTTTTAATAATATGCTTGTAAATGTAAGCTATATTTAGTTTAATTCTGCAGTGATCATTTTCATCAAAACATTTTACCTTAGAAATGAGAGTCCAGAAAACTATTACAAAGAAACGTTAGATACAAACATTTTGGTTTCAACAAAGATCTTTGGAAAAACAAAAATACCAAAGCTGGGCAGCCGAGGAACAAATGAAATAGAATAAAGACAGAAAAGGTGTGTAAAAGTAATAATAAATCATCACCTCTTCCCATAAGATATGGATCCAAAATTTACCCCAAAAGTCTGCCTGTTATCTTGTTTTCTTAATTAAAAGGTCATATGCTTCATGCTCTGAATACTATCAGCAAAATCCATCAACTGTTTAATAGTAGCTGGATCCTTTAATAAGCTATAGGTAAGTTATAACCTTTTACTTACTGGCACCATAATCTTTAGCATATATATAACAGCTTTTTATATATTTGGGCCTGTAGTCCCCAAATAAAAGATTTTTTTTTAATTTGGAAATCAGGAAACCGATTTCCAATTACAAAATTGAAATTGAATGGCCAGCACATACACAGACTTGGAACCCACTTAGAGGCATGAATCAAGTAACGGGTCTGAAGATCCTCTAAAGAAAATACATTTAATAATAAAACAAATATCACTGAATCATATTGGGGTTCTTAAGCAATAAAAACATCACAGAAATAAATTAAAGCCAAATAAATTGGCTCTTGACAGTTCTGCTTTCTACTCTTGTCATGGTTAACTGATTTTATGGAAATGTTTGTTTATTCAAACAATAATTTGGATCATAAATCCATTCTGGTATTACTTTGTTGATCAGAAGCAATGACATTGTGGAACTTTCACTCTATAGCACTAAAAACATTTCTTTTAGATTATTTTATTCCCCCGATTTTAAACATTTACGTTGTTGAAAAAATTGAAATCCTCTACAAATATAGTTGTATTGACAGACTGACTAAATACCTAGGATTGTTGACTTAACTAAAGAACAGATATTAAATCTGGCTTTAAGACCAAAAGTCTAAAGATTAGATTTACTGCAAATGCCTAAACCTCTGTTGATGTAAGCTAATGCTGGAGTCAGTGTGGGGCGGGCGGTGTGCTGCTCTTACCCTGTGAGGTAAGCCAAACCACCAGCTGCTCAGCTAGACTCTCGCTGGAAAACTTGACTTTCACACTGCTCTGTCTGGAAAAAGCATAAAAACATTTTTGTTTTTCAAATTGTTTCTTAAAAAAAGTGTGAAAAAGTTAATTGCGTATATGATAAAAAAACGCAAAATGCATTCGAAGTTGTTAATCTAATTTTTTTTTTGGTTTATTGACTTTATTGATCTCACAGTGGAGAAATTTACTCATTACATCAGCTCTAATAGTCAAAGGGGAAGAAGAAGGTGCCAAGAAGAATCTTACCTTCTAAAGTTTGGCTCACTAGCACAGGATCTCTGGCCTTAAAATGCAAAAGAAAAAAGGATTATTATAGAAAACAGCAATGAGAACAAAAAAAAATACTTCACCTTTATTAAATTAGCTCTTATTTATAAGTTGTTAAGGCAGGCTGCTCATATCATCAAATATTCTACTAAACTGCTTAATGGGGAATCATTAAAATCCTTTAAACCATCAATTAACTGGCTGCTAAAATTGGTCACACTTACAAAAAGGAGGAGTTACAAGTAGAATGGGTGATTTGTCAATAAATGATTACACAGAGGAAAACAAGCTGTCCAGCATTTAAGAAAATACAAGTGATGCTTGAGGCTATTCAAAATGTGCCCAGTATATTACAGTCCAGGGGCAATATGGAGGGAATAGATGTCCAAATAAAAAGAAGCACTAATTGCAGTACAATATTTTTTATTGATTATGCAAATGTGCTTTCAAATAGAGAAAAAAAAACAAAGCAGAAAACGTATTAATGCATTAATAGAATAATACAGTCAGAGGAAAGACGGAACAAAACATCTGCCACTGCTTCACCTCTGCATAGATGAGAGCCAATTTAATACTAGAGAGCACTCAGAGCTTCACCAAGCAGTTCATTTAATTTTTTTCTCGGTGTTAAAGCAGCACGGTGTAAGGTTTGACTTGGGTAATAGCTTCAGTTTAAATATATTCCATAATTATTCAGGTCACTGTACAGCATTTGGCACACATCGATGGAGGTCAGCTCTATCTAATGTGACCAAGAACGCCGCTGCACATAGCAAACGTTTCTTTAAACGGTAACCAGCATGTATTTTTGAACATTCTGTACAATACCAGTCTTAGACCTATGTTTATAAACACCACAGCACACAAGTGTTAGAAACGTTCAGACCAGATTCTCAAAAGAAGGCTTGTAAGAATGAAGAACTAAAGGTAAAGGTGACCTAAAATAAAGGTATGGTTAAAACAGGGAGAATATTTTCTTCTTTACATATCCCTCTAAGTTACCAATTCAAACTTTTTTCAGCACATTTGGAACATAGTGGAACTTCAGCACAAATGGTTAAGAAGGTTTATTAACTGGTTTGTTCATCAAAACTAAACACATAGTGAGCATGTTGTGGTTCTTTCAGCATCAAGACAAATCAGATCAGCTTTATCTAAAAATGTTTAACACACCTGATCTTTTTTCCACTTAAAAATTGGCTCCCAAAAAATCATAGATTGTCCATCCTTATTTCTGATCCTGAATTAAACACAAATCTTATGAAAATTGTAAATATGGATCCGATATTTTGGTTTGAAAAAAAAAAAAAAAAAAAAAAAGAGTAATAGTTTTGACACTTTGGTACCCAGATCATCTCCAGTTTAAAAATCAGAGAAGCAGTTTCAAACTATCATTGAAAAAACTCAAACATTTTGAATTTTCAAACTGATATGTATACATTTTTATAAAGGATTAGTACTATGGAAGGACTTTTTTTTTTTTTAAACAGACCTAAAAAACAAATACATTAAATATATATAAAATATTTGATGCTGCTCACAACAAAAAAAAAACTGTTTTCATTTTCAGTCTTGATGCATTTAGACATGGAAAAAGCAGGCAACTGATGGCATTTCGACAGTCTTAGTCAATTCTGTGAACTCGCTCTCGAGCAATCTGTAATTGGAGCTCTGATGTTTTAAATCATCTGGCAATTCAGAAGCAAATCAGAAAACAACCAACACATTGGCTGGCATCTGACTTGAAATGTGCTTAGGATGGCTCTCCATGTTCCTTCAACAGTCTCCAACTCCATCTACAGATTGCCGTTCTGCGAGCTGATGGAATTCCCAAAGACTCCTGGATAGGTGTCAAAAAAAAAAAAAGGAGTAAAATATACCTGCTGAGAGCTTGAAGAGGTACTTTGATACATGTGTGGATGTAGCATTATCGTCGCCAATGATGTAGAGTGCATAACTCTGTGAAGCAAAAAATGGAAAAATAAAAACAATTAAAAAACATACTTTGTTAGTTGGTTGAAACCTTTTTTTTTAATACAGGCAGCACTTAGAATAAAGAAACACTTCACAAAAGATTTAAGTATTACTTTGGAGAAATATGCATAATTTATGTAAGTTCTAAAGTAAAAAAAAAACTATATAATAGGCCCCATTGTAAAACAGTGAACAGGATTAACTTATAATTAGTTGTACTTCTGCTGCAAAGGTTTGTACACTTAAATTAAAAGCTTAGTCAACAATCTTACTAGCTTTTAATGTAGCATCAGTAAAGGGATCGAAATAACTACTTCTGTTTTCAAAATATCATGTAATAAACAAACACCTGATTTCAACAATAATGGATGCACATAAGTTATTATATGATGAAAAAAGCAAAAGAATGAACTGAAATCTAAATAATAGTGAGAAGTTCTTTAATGCTTCCCCTTTTACATCAACAATATCACTTGCATCAAATGGTAAAAAAGAAGAAAAAAAAACAACCACCAACAATAGGAAAATAGGAATGTTTCCCGTACCAAAACCAGCAGCTTGGTCCTCTGACAGATGCCAGGTAGGTAAGGGAATGGGGAGCTTTCTTCCCCTCTCAAGCAGCTGCTGAGCCAACTGAACACACAGGGAGGATTGGAGCTGAGGAAGGTAGGCCGCTGCATCTGACCAATCACAGCTGATCATGAAATGGAGCGAGACAAAGATCAAATTTGACCATTGCTGGAAAACTCTTAACTATAATTGGATGTGTTACTAGAATAATGCGTTTATGCCGTTCTGAGCTTCAAACCTATCTTTTACTGTACTATCACGCCTTGCGTGTTTCCTGACTAAACATCATATCACACCATTGAGTCTCTTACCCTGGTCTATGACGCAGCTTTCAGTAAAGTAACTAATTAACGAAGGGAAGTCTCGCCAGTACTGATCAACATATTCATCCAGCTGAAGGTCTCTGCAAAAACACAAACGATTAATAAAATACAATGCAGAGAATCAATAATTCTTACTATCATACCAAGATAACCAGAGTAAATAAACACCCAGAGTAGTTTTAAAAGATGTTCTTATTTAGTGAGAGAAAATAAATACGAAACAAATAAGACCTTATATAAAATATAAGAATAAAAAAATGCCCCTCCTCTACCTGTTGCTGGACACCGTCAATAAACCTGCTAAAAGAAAGCTAACACACTTTGTTTTTATAAATAAGAGAAGCTGGAGGCAGTTTTAAAATATTCTAATGAAAAAACATAAATAAACCCCCAACTCCAAGGCCAATGCCACCCCTGGCAGACTGCATGATTAACTAACTAGGTGATAGCAACTTGCTACAGTCTAATATAAGGTCTAGTAGAATGAACTAAAGTACACCAAGAGAAACTAACAAAGCATTTCTTGATTGTATTTTTACATTATATATATCCAGAAAACGAAACAGAAAAATATAAAACTAAGTAAATCAGGATATTATAATTTTTTTCTTATTGTTTTGCATGAAATAACACTAGAAAACTGATATTAGCTGGTAAATTAATCACATTATTTATATTCAGTTCCTATTCAGAGGAACGCTTAGCAAACAGCGTGGCTTTTACCATACATGGCATCTTAAAAAGTAAATAATATAAATGGTAACTGACTACAATGGATGGTGGATTATAGTTTCCTCTTGATTATTTCCAATGTTCTTTGTTGTTTTTTTTAAATCATAGCACTGATCAAAATTAGTCTTTCTTGTAAGTAAAAGAAAAATGTAGTACCCTCTTTCAGCCAGCTGAACAGCAGTTCACAGAAATAAATAAGAGTGTCTGCACTAATATTTATTGTACATATTCAGCTCATGATTCATATCTAAATTTAATACTTAGTAGCCCACTTTTGCCCTGTGTTTGCAGTCCCTTTAGAACCAAAAGATCCTTTCTGAATTTACATAAATTTCCTTACCCAACGAGCCAATAAAATCAATTCTCTGAAAATATCCCCTAGTTGATTCAACCTAAAACCTGAACGAAGAGTTAAATCTCTAGAGCAGGCATCCCCAAACTCAGTCCTCGAGCACAGCTGATTATAATGATTGCAGTAGAGCAAAAGCCTGTTAATCAACTATCAATTAAAATCTGATTTGCTGGAGCAGAGAAACATCTAAAACCTGCAACCTCGGCCCTCGAGGACCGAGTTTGGGGATGCCTACTCTAGAGTATGTGAAGAAGCTGTCCAGAATCCAGAATTACACTTATACAAACTTTGTCATTTTGTACACACAGGGTGTGTACAAAACAAAAATTCATTCAGTATCAACAATGGGAAGACTATAAAATATTACTTCAAACAAACCAGATAAGCAATTTTTCCAGAATAGTTTAAGCTAAAAATGATCAAACAAAGCAAGCAGTTCTCATTTTTAGAGCAAGTTAATAAAGTACAAAGAGTATAAAAAACTCATCGTACTTAAATGCAACCCACATACTAACAATGCAGAACAATTACTCTGAAGAGCTCTTCACTCTCCCACTCCTCTTATTCTCTTTTTGTCATGGTCACCAATAACAGCAGTCACTTGACAGTCTGTTCAAGTTTTTTTTCCCTCAGCGCACACCACTGAAGAGCCTGAGATGGCATATAAACTTTCACTCAGAACATAATGCATTTTTTCTCTGTGTTTAATATAGTTTATGAACATTTGAAAAAGGTTGCTTTTTATGATAAAAAAAGACCTCTTTAATTCTCATCTAAATACTTTAGAATTTGCCTCAGAATGTAGCTGAGAATCAGTTTCATTTCTTGATGTACTTGTCAACAAAGTGGACCTTCTTTAGACCGCTACTTTAAAACATTGACTGTTAGGGACATATTCTTACACTAGCAGTTAGCATCCTCTCAGCCTGAAAGCGACCTCCTTAAAGTCAGCTGTTGAGAATCACAGGGATTTGCAGCACTGATTAATTGTTTGACATAAAAGCTAATCATCGCTGTCATATATGTAGAGAAATAGGTGATGGCGACCATCTACTGAAACAAATTCTGTATTAGATTGTAGCATTAACTCCTAAACTTCCCTTTTATACAGACTCAAACATTGAATTGGCTACATTTTCCCTACTGTCTAAGGAGATTAAAAATGCATCTTTAAACATTGGAACATTTTATCTAGTTACGCAACAATAGGGCACAGCTTTAAAAAGTCTTGTAGTTTTATCAATGAAGTCTCCAGGAATCTGAGAGATTTTTTAGTTGGAGAAAACCGTGACCTTTCTCCTTTTCAATTCTCGTCTCCACCACCAGGTGGTTATTTTCCCTGTTCTGGCTGTGCTCAGTGCAGAGCTTTGATGGAAGTTAGTGAGGTCCTATAAGCTCATACTGACAAAAAGGTTTCCATTTAAAAAAAGGAAGAAAAAAAAAGAATTCCCCTGTTGCACCAAAATGATTAATATCTTGGAATTTCCTTATGTTCCAGTTTATATAAACTTTTCACATCACAGGGCAAAATTAAAAGAATTAAGATTAGGATTTCAGAACAAAGAAGTAATATTCCTAATAAAGATGAGAGATTTCCTTTGGCTAGACATGCCATGAAATGTTGACATGACATTTTTTCGAAGGAATTTCAGTTCTTAGAAGTGTTGGCTGCTCCTAAAAGAGCAGCTGAGAGCCAGGAAACCTTAAGGGGCTGAATAAGGAATGGTTTTCTCTGGAATTTTTGCTCTTATGAATTAATTTTTTGTTATTTGATCTTGTATGGAAAATTCTGTATGTCATTGTTGCTTAAGTGTAACTGACTGAACTGACAGCTTTGCATAGCTGTTTCCTCTTTAAGCTAAACCCACCTCTGATTCTACTCTATATATCAACACATTGTTAGTATTGGTTTTGTTAGGATTATTTATATTATTCATGTATGTGCTTGTTAAACTCTAATAATACCAGTCTGTTATATGCTAAGGCTGATGTTTTCACAAGCAGTTTATTCCATTAGGACACTCCTTCTGTCAGGATAAAAGGTTATCATCTTCATATTTACATTCAGATTTGGGAAGAAATGGAAGCACAGACAGAGTCGATCATTCTCAACAGCGAGCCCTCAGTCACTGTGCATTCAGAATGTCCTTGATCTAGAACACTGTAATATCTTGATGTGGCTGGAGCCAGCGATGTCTCCTTGTTTACAAACGTGTATGATGTAATGAAGTGAGATATGAGTATTGCCCCATTTACACTACCCTTTTGAAACCGTGCAAAGAACGGTCCGAGCACCGCAACCAAGATAACTGTCGAGTGTAAATGGAAAGCAACTGAACTGCACTGTGCCAGACACAACGGAACCATGCTAAATCTAGTACTAGTTCAACAGTAGGGTTCAGCACAGTTCATTTGTGGCTTGGTTCTTGGATAACAAAGAGCACATGAGCAGACCGCTCCTATTTACAGTCAGCTGACTCGTGCACGTTTTCCGACATGTTCGGCTTTGCAGTTCACAGATCTCTTCACCTGTTCACAACACGAACTTCTTCTCAGCCTATTAACAATATATGGCATCAAAAGAACACGGTGTGACCAGCAATGATGCAGAGACCGAGGCTCTCATTGTAATTTGGGTGGAGGACGCTATCCATGCACATAAGATCCTGAATGTATGGGCACCATTTTGTCTGCGTGATCCCTGCCTTGAGAGCTGTAGTACCGTGGACCAGTGATAGGAGGCAAGGGACTGTGCTAGCATTATGTGCAACTGGTGGTAAGAACCAAGCCCGGCACTGTTAACTGATCCAAGCACGTCCGAACTCAGCACAGATCGGTTTCAGGCGGGTAGTGTAGATGGGGCAGGTGTGGCAAGGAGAGACACTGGAGATGTATAAAAATGTTTGTTTAACTGTTATTCTGGGCCGACATTCTGAAGAAGCAAGCCCGGTGGTAAGCGCTGCCATTTGTAAACAGAGTCATTTTTCTGGTAAGATTATAATTTCTGTAAAAACTGTTCTCCTGTCTCATAGTAATTTAATACATATACATTATGAAGTGTTATTCAAAGTGTTTGTTCCAAGCGATCTCTTCTCAGGGAAGAATGGGGGAGAGAAAACCTTAAGATGTAAACCAAGGTTTCCTTTATAGTTAGAAGCTAATTACTGCACACACAAAAAAAAAAAGAAACGACAACAAAAAAAAGGGAAAAATTATTAACATATATTAAATTCATGCAGAATCTTTGAGTGCTGGTTATTCAGATTTTTTATTTTATTTTTTATCAAAAATGGGGCTACCTGGCCAACTGCTGCAGCAGACACACCAGTGATGAAGCTCTTGCCCTGTGCAGCTCGTCCAGCTGCAGCTCTTGGTAGAGCAGATGGAGAACATAGAAAAGGGCAGGAATGTGTGGGAACAAAGGTGCCGAACTCTCAAGTTTCAAAGATGAACTGAAGGATGAAGCCTCCTGCTGTATGAGAGCAAAATAAAGTGTTAAAATCTTTTAATGTCCGATTTTCCCAAAAACATAATAAAAGAAACCAAACCACAACATGCAGAACTATACTAACCGCTCCAAAATCATTGTCACAGTCATGCTTTTTCCCCTCATTCTTTTAGTTATGTCGCAATGCTCCCCATTTAAAAACCTTTAGGTTAACATTAGAGTTGTATTTTTTTAACTGTTATTGCATTGAATCGAAGGGATTAAGGTGAAATTAATGTAATTAAATAAAAAGGCCTGAAATAGATATTAGAGTTCTAACAACTAGGTTTATAGCTGAATAATTGGACAGCAATAAAATATGACATCAGGTATTTTTCAATTATCCCCTTTTCAAACTGCAAATAACTTCTGAACAACACTTTGAAAATGTCTGCTCTACAGTAAAAACAACTCAGGGGATTTAGCTGAGCTTTTATATTGAGATACATTTCATTAAAATTTAAATAAAATATTAAAGCTACAGTGTGTAACTTTTAGCGACATCTAGCGGTCAGACTGCAGACTGCAGCAACAAGAACATCTCCCCCCCACCGCTTCTCCCCCCCCCAACAGTATGGCGAGCATTAAGGGACAAAATGTCTTCCACGACGTCCGCATCACCTACCTTCTCAAGTGATGAGGTTTGTTTACATAGATAATTTCCCAGATAGTATTTCATTAGTCTGTGTAGGGTATAGATTTCATGTAGACTTAAGATAATAAATATACCCGTTATTTTTTCTACATCGTTGTGACGTTTTGGCGATCTCGCAATCGCTAGTTTATTGGCTCTGGGCTGCCGTAACGCAAAGATGTCTGCCTCCATGGCTGCGAGACCCGCTCCTATGTAATTATAAATAACGAATTCTAAGGCAACGCAAATATTAAGGTTAAGAGGCTGAGCCCGTAGATGATGATAAATAACATAGTTATGTATAATATATTACATTTCTGACTGTATATCCCTGTAATTATTACACACTGTAGCTTTAAGTGAAATATACTCCATGCCAATCATCAAATTATAACAGTCACCTGGGTTGACCTGAAATAAATTAAAACATTTTATTCAAAATGGTGTCATTTCAAACAGACAATTAGATACAAGGGAGATTATTATTATTATTATTAAACTTATGTGCTGCATAATCTAATGACAATTTAACAGCAAAATGTCACACCAGACTAGGCTATAAGATGGAGTACATGGAATAAAAGAGTTACATACACAGGATGGGTCCTCTTTTTCAGTATTGACATCATTATTGGCAGCCCCTGAGTCCACTGATCCACAGACAGGCTGAGAATTTATCTGACGGTGATAATGAGATGCTAATAGGTAGTCCCAGTCCTGCAAAAATAGAACACAGATGAATGCGAGGCCAAGCTTTCTATTGTCTCCACCATAAACAAACCCAGATGAAAAACAAAAAACAAAATAAAAGTCAAATTATTTGTGATTCTCTTGTTTTTAAGATAAAAAAAAAGGACAATCATGAAAACAGAAAGTGACATAAGCAAATACAGGGATTACCCAGCAGCACCTTTCAGTGAGCTAAATTGTTTGTCATCCCTGCAGGGGTCATAACAGTTTATTTCCTCTTAATTCTGTGTGTTCAAACACAAAACTAGCATGTTCACAGGTCAGTGTTTTAAAGTACTGTGTGTGTTACTGGTTTGATGAGCTACAAGCTGTTGATCTCTATGACATCAATTTCTTTTTCCCTGAACTTGCGTACAGACCTTCACTGCAAAAACAATCCAGAAATAAGTAAAAATGTCCTAAATTAAGTGTATTTACCCTTAAACTGAGTAAATAAATAGATATTCTGCCAATGGAATGATGATTTTTACTCTTAAAACAAATAATTAGATAATATGCACTTGAAATGAGACAATGCAATTATTTTTTGTCTTATTTTAAAAGTAAATTGTCTTGTTCGATTGGCAAAGTGTCTCACTTTCCTCTTCAATTCAAGACAAAAACACTTATTTTAAGAAAAAAAGATTTTAATTTTTTTTCTGTGTTGCTTACTTTCTGCTCTGAAATGCACCACATAAAAGTCTGTGGTAGAATTCATGAAAACATGTTAATTTTGTCATTATTGGCTGTTTACTGTAGTTACATTCACTATGGAGTTTGCCTGTAGCCCAAACCGTGGAAAACATGAAGGTGCGAGAACACTTTCTCCAGTCATTGTTCATGCAGAGGTTATCCTGGACTAAAATCTGACACATCTGTCCTCGGGTCAAAAATAGACCAGCAGAGTGAGCCTTCAGCTGATTGACATTTTCCAGTCGTGTTTGCCTTAATGAGAACACACGCAAATACAGATTAGTTCAAAAATCCCCTTTAATTAGAGCATTTTAGGAAAACCCTCTCAGGGCAGTCTGAAGAGGAAGAATTTGTTTGATATTTCTTTTACATAATTAACATCCATGTCGGGCTTATAGAGAGAGGGAGCAAACATGCACTCTGAGGGTCTTTATTCACATATATGCTAAAATACATGAATGAGGAGAAGAGAACAAGTTATATCCTCAGCTAATTTACAAAAACTGCACCAAATATCTCTGTAAAAAAGGTGTAAATACTGGGATGGTCTTATTTTTTAGTTGGCAGCATGTCGTAGTTTAATTCCTTATGTGCCTTAAATATGTAAAATTTTAGATATTGACAAAGATATAGTGCAAGTAAGACTGAGTGAGTCTTCCCTGAATGTTCACTCATTAAAAGTATATATAGATAGATTGTATTTCAGAATTTTTCCTCCTCCAATAAATCCATGTTTAAACCTGATATATCTTGTTAAGAGTTCTATTAAAAACATACATGACTGTGTGGTTTTCACTGCAGATGCATGCACTTTCCCCTTTCCACACCATATTCCTCATACCTCATCAGATCCTCCGTCAGAGGGACGAGCCTTTTTGGCAGCAATCACCGGAGAGAGAGGAACTTCAAACTGTAGCTTTAGAAAGAGAACCAAAAAAGGGATTTATTATAAAGTGTTTGATGACCAAAATAGATTTGCAAAATTAAAAATGTTATAAATTTTAGTTGGTTGAATTTATTACGAACCGTCTGATAATTTCACTAAAGAAAACGACTTTGCATCATTTCTAAACACTGACAAAGTGAAACTCACGTGTCGAGTCCAGGCCAGGCGCTCGGTGTTGTAGCCCATCAGTGTCATGAAACAGGTGACAAACTGGCTCCACTCTGCGTGAACGCTGGGACCGCCAGGTGCATTGTAGATGTTGTACCACTTTACCAGAACCTACAAGTTTTACAAGAGGTAGATAGAAAAAAATACATATTTTTCGAATTTAAGTAAAGATAATCTGACTATTTGCTAAACATTGAATGGTTCTCAAACTAAGCTTATTAAGGGATTTGAACAACTATTGTATTTATCTTACTTTCTTTTATGAGAGGTGTTCAAAAATAAAGGAATCTGTATTCATTTGGATTAATTTTAAGTTAGATTTTAACCAAACAACGCATTTTATGGTCACCAAGTATTTACTAATGTAAATGGATTTCCTAGTGAGTACAAGCAAAAATTGTATTCCTAAATTTCATAAAGTAAAGATACAAAAAGAGATAGAAAACATTCAGTTAGGCTGCAGTGTTGGTTCAATCAGCGAACTGATAATCTTCATATCATTACATACTTCATTTGAACAAGATAATCAAACAGTTTAAACAGTGTATTGCCTATACCCACTGAGTCATAGGTTTGTAAAATCCAGTTTAACAAACCTTCATGGCAACTTCTTTAGGCAGGATGAACCGAATCGCTTCAAGGCACTTCCTCACTGCAACACAAAGGAAAGGAGAAAAATACGGAGGAAATGATTATTGGCGTTAGAACAAATACCCCATGATCTCTCAATACACCACGCTTCTCCAAGCGTTAACAAAAATCTGTTTGGTTACTGTCTGCACATTATTTCTTAAGGTAAAGTATAATGGTTGATGGCTATTGCCTTTAAAGTCTGCATTTTGGCAACTTTTATTTTGAAGCAAGAAAGGAATATGCTGATAAAGGTTCTCAGTCATCCAGGTCATAGTCATTCCGTAAAAATTCAAAAAATATCCACTGGACTTGGTTTTCAAGATTTGAAGACGTTTTGCCACCTCTCCAGGAAGCTTTCTCAATTCAAATGTCTGGATCCGCAGTGAGTTTGAGTCTTATATAGACAACGCCTTGTATCGCTTGGAAACATGCAATGGAAACCGATGAATGGGTCGTTAGTTCCATCGTTAGCCTGTAATATCTGAACCTGTCTATGATTCTAGGGGTCGGTCGTTAAAGGGGGGATTGTCCTAGGGGTCGGTCGTTAAAGGGGGGATTGTCCCCCTTTAACGACCGACCCCTAGAATCATAGACAGGCCATATCTAAGAAAATAAAAGTTATATCAGATGGAAACCACCACTGTTAACTAGGGCTGCAACAACGAATCGATAAAATCGATAAAAATCGACTTTTAAAAGCGTTGGCAACGAATTTCATCATCGAATAGTTGTGTCGCGCGATTATTGCGTCATCCGCCGCGCCGTCATCGCTGCCTCTTGACTGAAAGAGGAAGAAAAAAAAATATGGCAGAGCGAGTCAGCGCTGCAGGTGCAGTGTTACCAACTCAGCGACTTTTCAGACCCCTCCAGCGACTATTTTTCAAAAAAGCGACTAGCGACAAATCTGGCGACTTTTTTCGGTGTCACTGGCGGCTTTTGGAGACTCTTACGTGAAAGCATGTATCGTTCCTACTCTGCCGTGGGGCGCATCCCCCCGCTCCCGCAGGAGTCCCTCTCAGCTGCAGTCAGAGCCGCAGTGTCCAGACTGCAAATGAAGCGCGCATGCACCGGGATTGACGGCGCAAATTGATCACAATAATTAAAATAGCCTGCGCTTTGTAAAGCGAAAAAAGTGATAACATGCAACTTTTTTCAAAAGAAATTAACATGGCACGGAACCACCATGTTTGTTTGGTTTCAAAGTGGGGAAACGTAACGTTAGTTTCTCAGGTAGCTCATCCGATGCTTTCCTTACCGTGTTAGTAGGTTACAGACAGTGATAAGGTTGGCTACTTATTTTACTTTTAATTTCATTTCAATTAGCTTAAGCAGCGTTTGTATTTACTTTATAAATAAATTAACTTGCAAATTATGAGGGCAAGGCTTTTAAAGTTTAAATCTTCTGGCGAAGATAAAGTAAAGAAGATCCTGCAATTTATGGAAGTAAAGCAGAATAAAATCCAGCAAGATCAGTAATATGTCAATTAATTATCTGCCAGATTCCCATGTAAATATCTGTCTTTGGAGGATGTGTTTTTTAGCACCCCTAGTTCTCTCATTTTTATTCCAAATACAATTTATAATTTGAATCACAGGGCTATTTTTATCTCTATGGTTAAGTATTTTCTCAAGTAGCAACTTTAACTGCTATACTTTCCTGTCTTAAAAGGCAGAACTCTTCTAGTCTAAAAAAAACTCATTAGTTGAAATGGGGGGGCCTATTGTTTGAACCCCTTAGAGGCTTTTAAAAACAAAAATGTCTTTTTTTGCGCTTTATGAAACAAAGTAGCCTATATTTTGTGGATGTACAGCTACATTTCTCATGTAAGTTTGCGTAGTTTTAACACAAACATTTATTTTTCATATTGCACCAGTACAGTTAATGAGCAACCTGTACTTGTGTGCTTGTTTGTTCTGTCTAAAATGTTTATTTTGGAATAAAGAGCTTAATATAAAAAATATTTTTTGTCAGATTCATCGATTAATCGAAAAAATAATCGTCCGATTCATCGATTTTTAAAATAATCGTTAGTTGCAGCCCTACTGTTAACCTTATGTAGGCAAAGAAACATTTGATGGACGTTATATGACTGATTTGTACGATATCAGGCTAGCCACTAATAATGCTAAAGCTAGCATTTTTTCTGTACTTCAAAATCTAAAATATGTGGAAAGATCAAACATGAACTAGAAAATTCTGCACCGACTTAATCAATATAAAGTTCGGAGTTTATAAAATCTGTGTTCAGTCCTAAAATAATTCATATGCCTAACGGATATGGGATATTGATATATTTAAAATGAATATCATTTTATTTCTCACTGAAGTGTTTAACATTTTGAAACCATAGTCCCAACTTGTCTTCTTACAACCCAATAATAATGAGCATCATACGTTGTTAGCTGCATTTTGTTTTTAACGTTGCATATGAAGGTGATCGGATTGTTTTAATTCTCAATGAAAAATGTGAGATCAAAACATGAATCATCACAGCAACAAACTGATTATTTATAGTTAACCTAGTAGTTATTGTTTTGTTTGTGTTTGTGTCCTGTGAGGATAAAACAGCAACAACAAAAAAAAACATGCAATTCAATCATCAGATTGAGTAGAATGGCAGCTTAAAATACACAGAACCTTAACTTGGGTTCTCATTTTTTTAATAACACCAATCAAATCTAAAGTTTATCAATATATATAAATATTAAAAACCTAGTGTTATGTTTATAGCCGATTTTAAATTTTAACTTCATCAGTCTAACAAATCTTCCTTATTCACTTACTGCTTCTCTTTAACAAAAACCTAACAGTGGCATGGTAATTAGTGTTGCTGTGTCTGACCAATGGGATTCCTAATCAACATCACCAGGCTATCTTAATTGGTCATTCGAAGTCAGAAAGGTCGAAAAGGAAGTGGATAAATGCCATTTAATTAAACGAAGAAAGCCTCGTCCATTCGATCGATTATCAGATAATGGGACCCCGTGCATGGAAGACGAAGAGGGAGACAAAGCGGTCTTTTAAGATGGGTGACACTGTAGGATTTAAATATTACCCTTTATGAATCAATAAATTAATTAATTGAGAAACTTTAAGTTAATAGATAGGGCTCTCACAAACCAAATAAGATTTAGATAGGTGGAAAAACTGACAACAGAATAGAAAAGGAACATGAAAAAACTGTTGCCCAGTTTAACTGGTCAGATCATTTTAATACCATAACTTATCAAGACATCCACTTATGCTGGGAATCAATATTAGGTCAGAGCTGTGTTACCAGGCTGCTTTTTTAATCTTTCAAACTGTCTTTTTCCCCAGATAAATGAACCATTTTAGTTTAAAACAAAATTATCCATGTAAATTATCCATGTTTAGTAAAGGTTGTAACCAATCATACCCATACCATGGAAAACTTAAAATATCAAATTACAAATGAAATTGCAAAAAAAAAGAGGGGAAGAAGAAATCATCGGTAAGGCAAAGCAGAAAGGTCAGAATGACAAAGATTTATTACATGGCAGCAGATTTTTGATCCTTGTGTCCAGTTTCTCTCATACTTGGATACTTGAAATGTATTGAAGCTTTGTTCCCTGATAACATTTTTCTGTCCAGTTTTGTTCATGTTCAAAACTGGCAATGATTTAAGTGATCAAAATCTAAACATTCACAGAGAGTGTTAAGGTGTCACCATGAAGGGAAAAAAGTGAGAAAGTTAATTTTCAACCACCATCATCCTCTTCAGTGATAAATTATCAAATCATATAACAATGTAATGCTTTCCTGATATCTGACAGGCCCAGATAATTTTTATTTAAACTAACCATAAAGATTAAAAGAACAAACAGTTTTAAACTGTGGATCTGATTTTTTCCTCCCTGGACTGCAGAGGATACTGACGTGGTGGATTAATCATCACCAGCATGTGTGTGCGAGTGCGTGTCTGCCTTGTAATGGCATCCTCAGTATAAAAGATTTTACGTCACTGTGAAGCATAGTGCAGCTCTCAAACCTAATTTCAAGGCCTAACTGCTCTGACTCAGTCATTTGTGTGTCTATTTGTGTGTGCAGCAATGGTTGGGATAAAAAAAAAAGCATAGAATTCATTAACAAATTCCTTAATTAACCTACAACGATCCTCTTGTTTTTGTGTGGTCTGTTCTTGGAATGAGTGTCTTACCCAGCTCAGATGTAGCTATCTCTGGAATAGAAACCCTGAGCATCACGCCACTGCTTAGCTCCTAGAAAAAAACACGCATAAAAGTAGATTACTGTATCTCCTTGGACTCCAATTCCACCCAGGTGTATGAAAGCAGGTGTGGTGTTTATTAAGACAATTTCAGTACTGCAATCCTCCGAACTGTACAAATGTAAACTGTCACTAGAGCAAGTTAATTGAATTTCTATATCCTCAATTTGATTACTTTTACCGTTGCTTTCCCTGCTGTATTATGAAAATAGTGCCCTGTGAAAAAGCCAACTGGCTTCCGCCTGTAATGGAATTCCACAGCAGTAATTTGTAAAAATGAAACATTGTCTAAATGTACAACACATACATGTGCCAGAAATCTTTGGACTGAGAAAGCAAAAAAACAAGATTATGTACAGAAGGAAACTTGTCCGGGGTAGGATTGTGTGGTTTGTGGTTTTAATACAAGTGGTTAAATAATTATGTTGATGAGGAAAGTCTGCATTGCTTAATTTTTCCACCGTTTTATTTATCACTTTCCTTAAGCTTTGAAGATAACCATAAAACTTAAGGTCATTAGTTTGCATACATCCTACTATATCTGGTGTAAAAGCAACAACTGCCTTTTAAACAACAGAAACCAACAGTCAGTGGTGGGACAGTGATGGTGAGGAGCTCATTTTGCTTTTGGACCTGGATCACTGTCCATAAATGATAGAACTACAAAATTTTGCTCTCCAGAACAAATTCCTTTGCAGTTTTATCCGTTTAAAGGTATATCAGTAATAGATTTTAGTTTGCAACTTTCAGATTAAAAGGGTTTTCAACCAGATTCTTTTCCGTACGCACAAACAAATTATCAAACAGGAGCAAGTTATATTATTACATATTAGTGCTGAAACAATCGGAATAATCTTGATTAATTGATTATTGAAATAATCGTCAACTGACTTAGTGAGCGATTAATCGTTAACTTGAGTATAGAGACCCTAAAACATGCCTTTAGTTCACAGAGCAACTCACTTGGAGCAGTAATAATATCAAAATTGTAAAAAAAATATATACCGTATATATATATAAACATTTTTGCATTTGAGACAAAGAAAAATGTATCGTCTGTCAATATGCTTTATCCAGAAATCCTCAAGTGGAAAAGTTTTAGTTTCACTTGGTTTAATTCATTTAAAAAAAAATCTTCTTTAAACCTTTACTATCGGATTATTAATCAGAAAAATAATCAACAGATTAAATCGTTAGTTGCAGCCCTAATGCATATCTTAAGTTTGGACAAAAAATGTGCATCAGAAACCCATAAACACAATGTGAGCCTATTTTTAGCCAGATGGAGAAAATGCTCCTCAGTGCCATACAAGGCAAATTACTCATGTTAGCACTGGGGTGTATTCAGGTGTCCACATTGTTTTCCATTGTTTACAATTGCAGGATCGGACAACTAGTATCATAGGCATATTTCTCATCTCGTATTTTGTGCTCTTTGAATTCGGAGCAGCTCCCCAAAGGGATTATTGAAATAAAAGCATGTTTTACAAGTAATTTCTGTCATTAGGAATTAGTTTTCTTAAAAATAAAGGGAAGAAAAAAAGGTAATCAGATGTGGTATAAACAAAATCATATTGCCCAGCCCTTGGCACGCTGAAAGGAATTTAACTAAATATCTGCACTTTGTATCCTTACCTGACAGGTACTTTATTTTAAAATGAACTTAATATCAAATTCTATGCAGCATGTTCTTTACAAGAAACTACAAAACACAGGATTTTAAACAAAAAATGTAATATAAATACATTTCCATTTTTTATTTTCTTATAAGCGTTCCACACTATAATGTAAATTGCATATTGTGAAAAAGTTAGAGGGAATCACAAAGCAATATTCACTGATGTTAGAAAAATATTGATGGGGTGTTATGCTGCCTTCATGTGGTAGAGAAATTATGGTAAACAGCAAAAACCAACATTAATATTGCACATAACCCACTTATGTCGTAATTTCCACTGGAAAGCTGGAAAATGTTATGCTACCCAAGTTGTTGAGATGAGGAAAACTTTGACCTTTCAACATGGCGGAAAGCATAGAAACTGTTCTGAATGATGGATACTGCATTGATGAACGTTCTCTCAAGTGTTTTTAGTCTACACAATGCTGTGAAATTCATTTCTTTTTATTATATCATTACTTAAAATTGTGTTGGTTTAAAAATAACCCTTGATATTTAATTTAATCCGAAACTAGCTGGCAGTCGGCCGACGATGGCAGCCAGTAGGATTCTGTGCAAACTGTGTTCTGACTTCAGTGAGTGTCTGATTTACTGGAACCAGGAGATAAGCCTGTAACTGGAGCAGGATAATCTTTGATCCACTGTGTTTCTCTTCTCTACCACAACAAAAGTACCTAAACACAATTCGCTGGTAATTTCCAATTTACAGCTGAAAAGGATCATCTTTATCAGACCACATGAAGGCAGCATTAGTATCACAAGTTAAACACATTTAAAATAGTGGATTTAGTTAAGACTGTTTTCTATGCAATCCAAAAGCCAACTTACCAGGGTGACTCGGTTACAGACAGGGTCTCGTAGAGTGTGGATGAAGGGAGTGGCTTGCTGAAACGCGTAATCTTCAAAGAATGAAGCCTCGTGGTGTTTGCTGTTTAAACCCTTCAGCTCTGACACGGGTGAGGGCATTGCCTCCTTAAAAAAAAAAAAAAGAGGTAAGGTGAATTTATAAGTACCACACGATTTGTTCTAGACCAACGTTTGTTTAAACATTAAAGCAAAAATCTAATAAATACATTAAAAACACCATAAGGTCATGAATCTAAATGTAATAAAACCCTCAGACATCAAGACTGAACATGGAGCTTGTATTTATCTAATTACAATAAATAAATAAAAATTAAAGAAAATTATTGTCACCGTTAGTAAAAATGGGACATATGTAAAAGCAATTTGTTCAAGGAAACCTAGAGGTAAGTGTAAAGATATGAAAAACAAATCATCCCGACTTCACAAAAAAAAAAAAAAAACAGATTTAGGTCCATATTAACAACTTTAGAAAGAAAATATTAAATCGGATAGTAAAATTAGAAGAAAAAAAAAATTTGTTTTACTGTCGATGCATAAATTTTCCTCAGAAATACTGTATAAATAAAGAAAACAAAAAAAAGGCTTAACATATTTTGGCAAAAACACAGCTGTTTCTTACTTCAGTCTGAATAACAAAGTGTGCGTACAACAGCACCACATTCTTGTACCTCACTGAGTCTGGGGATGTGCCTGCTGCTTGCATTAGCAGGCGTGCTCACTATCTCCAAGGGCGTATTAAAATGATGGAGCTGGTTGGTCAGGCTGAAGGGGGTAGACAGCAAGTTGGGGATATGCACTTTACTGACCTATTGGGATATAAAGAGCGTCACTTCATGAATGCATCACTCCGTCATTGTGTTGCATTGCTAAAGAATAAAGCATCCATAACCCTTTCTCCATATTGTCCTTACCCTTGTAGTTCCTGTGTAAAGAACCAGACTGCCACAAGCCTCCAGAACCAACATGGCATTTATATTCTAGAAAGAAAAATGTACAAATCATTTCATAATGAGCCAAATCTCAACTTAAAAGGATTTAAATATTATCACTTTTAAATAGAAATAACAAATGGCCTAAAATTAAATGGGCTGATTTTATTGTCAATTTAAAGACAAAACATACAGGATAAATATTCAATAAAACCAAAAGTCCTTTAGTTTGAGAGGATCCAGGTAATTGAACTTGTCCTTTCTATAGAAACGGAATCATTTTCTGTGTAGCGTTAAGCTGGGCATACACTGTACAAAATTTTCAATCTTTGTACTCAGCTACAGCTCAAACTTTACGACGAAATCGCAGGGTTTAAAAGTTCACAACTCAAAATGCAGGTTCTTACACGTACAGCCCAATGCTCAGCTGCGATCTAACTGCTCACATTGTACGTCCAAAAACAACATGTCAGACTCATTGGACTCATTAATATGGAAGGAGGACAAGAAAAACTACCTTGTTTGCACATGCTCGAGGTTCTGGTAAACGGTTCGTAACTCTGCTGAAACAGCAGGATTTCCCCACTAACACCTCGCGAGAGCCGACTGAAATTTAAACATGTTTGATTTTCTCCCGACCTCACGATTCCTGATGGGTAGGTGGTCTTTGAGAGGCTAATCACCCCTGTTACCCATGTACAATACAAGGACAAATCCCCAAAAAATTATCGCAAGACTAGAGAATTGCCCCAAAAAAAGAGCAAAAAGTTGTACAGTGTATGCCAGGTTTAGAATTTGTATCTTAAAAAAAAAGCTGCTTTTAACACTGAAAACCCAAGTTATTTCAAAACCAAGTTGACCCTCAACGACCGGCGCGAGGTTGTGGCGGTCGTACGTTGTGCTCAAAAAGTCCTGACGTCATCAAGCGGTCATCCCGGGTTTGATATTCCCACTGCATGCCGATCAAAGCCAAGGCGATTTTAACATGGGTCACTTGCAGAGTCGTTTGACCCATGTAGACACGCGTCAACGAGCTGTTCCCACTACCACTAAAAGCCGTTTGTTCCTGGGTTTAAGCTGGTTTTTGGCCACTGTGAAAGGGATAAAAATGTAGCCTGGGTGCCAGTCCGAACTTAGTCCCGCCCACAAGGTTTGAGTTCGGGGAAGTTCGGTCTGGCTCTGCTCCATAGTAGCGCGAGTATTATCGCCCACTGTCAGGCGATCCAATCAAATTGTCAGGGCGGGCTTTATACGATGATGGACAGATGATCAAGAGTAACGTTATCAACCACGTGACCAAAGCGCGCTTGGGTGACAACAATAATGGCTGCCGCTGGAGAGTTTAGGTGAGTAGATTAGGTCTGTTCTAGAAGATATCGACAGCAAATTAATTTTAAAAGAGGAACAGAGAAACGCGATCAAGTCTCATCTTCTTATTCTAGGCGTGAAACTGCACGCTTTGATTTTGGTGGACAACAACTATGCCTCGCTTAACATATGTCACGCACTCCGTTGCTCTTATTGGTTGTAGATCTATCCAATTGAGTGCAGAGGCATTTTTTTTCCTGGTTCGTTCGAAACACGCCCCATAATCACAGCTCTATGGAGCAGTATCAGACTCATATTCTGACTAGAATTGAGTCGGACTACGTCAGGCTAATAAAAATGTGGCTTAAAAAAAAAAAAAAAAAGAATAGAATGGAAAGGGCCAAGAGTCAAAATTACAAATCTATTTTATCTTCAGTTGTTCTATACAAGCAATTATAATTAACCTCCTGATTAAAAGAGGAATAAAATCTTCTCAGACAACAAGAACAATTTCATGGCATTAGTTTTGTTAAAGTATGCTTCAAATACCTGCAGAGGTGCGGCATCTTTGGCAGGGATGGTTGTGACAGAGGGGAAGATGAGCTGACTGGTATAATTGCTCTCAATAATCTTTACACATCTATTGGAAAAAACAAAAAAGGAATATTGTAGATGCAGATTTAACCCCAGGATGATGGTATTTATTAGGAAGGAAACATTGGAGTTGCTGTCAATTAGCCAGAATTTAGGCTTCCTAAAAATGAAAATGTACCTTTTAGAATAAAAGACTATATTTATTATTTAGTTGAATTCTACAAGACTAATATGTACACTAATTTTTTTTTAATGCATTTTCTTTTTCCACTGTACTGCAAAATGTCCCAGTGCATCACAATAAATATTTCCTGTGGGACCTACTGGCTTTTTAACAGCTTATCAGTTGCAAAAAAAAAAAAAAAAAAGAAGCAAAACGTAAAATATTTCACGTACAGCTGTGAGCTAAGTGCACATTTATCACTGTATCAAAATAGTAAGGCTTGTTAAAACAATATAAAACAAATTGGCATTTCATTTACTAATTTCATTCATTTCACTATTGGACCAACAATTAGTAGGGGAGTGGCAGCCTAGTGAATAGGGTATGGCGCTTGGATCCCAGAGGTTCTCAGTTCAAGCACCACTCCAGGGTTCCTACAGCATAAGATAAGTCAAATTCAAGACTTTTTAAGACTTTTTAATGCCACTTCAAATAAAAATTTAAGAACAAATTCACAAGAAATACAAGAAAAACCTGCTTGCGACAATTTAACCCAAAGGTTTATTTTAACATAAACCACTGCACTAATGTTTCAAATTTTGAAAAGCTTCCCATACAGGAAGAAAGCTAAAAACACACAGATGACAGATATATTTTAACAATTATTTAACTGAATTCACAAACTTTGTTTTAGCAGGGAACAAAACAAATCAGTTTTAAAGCCACAACATAACCAGTGCTAAGTTTTTTTAGCAGCTATTTTTCTTTGTATCGTTTTCTTAGTATGTTTGGTTTTGTGATAAGTGGAGGCGTTGCAGAGACAAGGGTGGAACAAAACCGAGAAATACCGGCTGTTTCTCGGTAACTCGATTTTGACGCTTTGTGTTTCGTGCTTCGCATGTGCGACTTATTGCACAAAATACACTGTGCCTCATGTAACTTCCCTGGTACTGGTTTTAGCCATGGAGAAAACTCTTGGCTGGAGCCAATTTTCTTTACATTTCTTTACATTTACACTTGCTCATATTTTCCAGACAAAAAGTTAATGTATCTCCCAAATGTCCCGGCCGCAACAACTTTTTTATGGGTTGCGCTATCGGGATGGAACCAATAATGGCAAGCCATTTTTTTTTTTTTTTTTATAAAAAATAAAATAAAAATTGTCAATTTTAACGTTTTATTTGGATTACACAAATAAATCGTAATAAACATAATCCTATTTATGATGTTTTAAAAATTAAGACCTACGAAAGACTGATTTAAGACATTTTAATACCAATTAAGGCCCTGAACTCCACAAAATGCAACTCTGGGTCACTGAGCAAGACCCTCAACCCCCACACTGCTCCCCGGGCGCCACACAATGGCAGCCCACTGCTCTCCAAAGGGAAGGGTTAAATCCAGAGTGAATTTTGTTGCTTTGTATATGTAATAATGTAATGACATTTACAAGTTGAACACTATTGTAATGGATTCTATTCAATTAGTAGCTACAGTGATCTTGTTGATCCCTTCAAACAGTCATTCAGGTATGACTTATGCGACTGTAGCCTGGGTGCTTAGAGAGAATATTGCTCCAAATGTTGAAGATAGCTTTATGAAGAGCTTCCACTATCTGGAACTGAAGTTCTTTATTTTGTTGCCATAGATTAATCCTGCATGGAAAAAAAAAGATTGACCAGATTTCTAGACCAATTCAAAAACTCTCCTTACTCATTTCAATCTGCTGCTATCCAGGCTGCATCAATAATGGTGAAGTACACTTCAAGTTTAACTGTCACTAAATAAACCTGATGGGGAAATCATATTAAAGAGGAGAAGTGGCTGATGTTGACCGAGGAAAAAAAATGTTGTTGAATTTGTTGTTCTTATGCACTTTTGGAAAACTGAAACATTAAAGCAACCTGGAGGAATTCAAAAAAACTGCAACAGTAATGCATATTGTTCACCTGAGGTGTTGATGAGATTCCACGAGGAAACACAGGTAGTTGTTCTCACAGAGGTCAGAGGTCAGGAACACTTTAGATGCCTGGCTGCTCATCTCCCTGGAAAAAAAAAAAAACAAAAACAAAAAATAGACAGTTTGGTAGGACACAATTTTCTTTTTATTTATATTTTTTTAACTGCATCAAATTTAACATACCCGGGGAAAAAACAAATTTGTTTAAAAGTCCAAAGAACTTTTTGTTTATAAGTAGTTAAACATAAAACATGACAGTGAACAACAATATAAAAATCATTATAAAATTCATAGAAATATGAAAATCAGGATGTGTTGAGGAAAATCAAAAGAGATGAAGAATTTGGGCTAAATATCAATTTCAAACTCATTATTTGAACCACAAAATTGTTTTTATTTGTGTGTAGGTACTGCAGGTAGAACTAAATATGTGAGCGGTTTAACTCAACATAGAAGAAAACGATCATAGACAATAATTGTAGTTTTATTGATTTATGACATAGGATAAATATAATAGACGCCATGATTGTCATTTCGGATTAAAAATAATCTATATTTGAATTAAATAACTAACTTTTAAAACAAGACTTAAAAGAATGTAAAATTGTTAAAAAGGTACAATTTGCAAATTGTTGTATAATAATTCATCTTTATATGATCATATTATAATATTATCAAAACTAACAGTAAGTCATGATCTTAGAGAAGGAATGAGATTTCATATGTTTATGAAAACTAAAACTAATCGATAATGTTTTATCAATTACGTTTTAAATTGTTATTAAACTGCATATATTTAAATCTAATCAAATGAAAAGACACCAATAGATTGAGCTGATAACTAATACAAAGTAGCATTAACAAGGTATACACTAAACAACAATAAGCAAGCTGGGTTTCTAAGATGACGAATCAAAGTAGCCCAACATGACTGAATATCGAGTAAAAAACTACCAATTGGAAGAAAGAAACTAAATTAGATTAAAACGGGACTAATCTAGTAATCCACCTAATAACTGTTCCTGCTATAAATGAATCCCAGGATGTCTCTGCGTCTGTTTTCAACATGACTGAGCGGGTGATTACCTGTGACAGCCAGCGGGGACCGTCTCAGTCCACAGCTGCTCCACACAGAGGTCCGGTTTAATGGGCTCCATCTCCGGCATTAGGATGCTGTCGTTTGCAGTGCTGTTAGGAGATGGTAATAAACTGTGGTGCCCCCTTGGGGGAGGGCTGTGAAAGGACGTATTGAAACGAGCCGCGCCTGTAAAGGACGGAGCAGCCATGCCCGGAGAGTGGGCCCGACTATGAGAAAGAAAAGGACAGCAGCTTACAGAAGTTATTTACCAATTTGATTGCTGAGGTTGATAGTAAAAGCTGTGGATTACACTCAAACCCCACCTTAAGGCGGCCATGTTGGATATAGTTGGGGAATGAACTCGAGAGTGTGCTCCTGGTGAAGAGGTCATGAACCTGCCCTGGTGACTGTGCAGAGCACTGTAGTGCAGAGGAGAGCTGGGATGGAGGAAGATAAAAAAACATGACCAGTCAACAAAACGAGTAACATTAATTATAATCACTGGTAGCTTTACTTCTACATATAAGTTTGATCAGGGTTTAAAGCAAGGCCTATAGCCACATTCCTCAGTTAACGATTTTTTTAAATTGCCCTTTTGGCAATATTTTGGCAGTATTTATTAGTTTAATGTCCTAAATGAGGAGTTTTGGCATTTTAATTTATTAAAATAAGTTAAAATGAACTACAAAACCCTCAATGATTATCAGAACAAACCTAAATCTAGACATCAGGCCTCCTCATTTAGCCCTGAATACTAGAAACTAGGGCGGTAAATTTTTACTAAAACCCCAAATTGCACTTTTTTGCACCCTAGCTGCAATTATATTTCATATTCAATTAATTGTCCAGTCCTTGAACCAACAAATATTTATTGAGTGTGATCCAGTCTTTAGTAAAAGGAGAGATGCATGGAGAAAACAAAACAAGCATGAAATTAAAAAATAACTATTTTTTATGTATCATACGAATAATCTTAATTGTGCACTTTACTGTTTGTTTATTTTGAGAGGCCTACCTGCTATTAATAATTTTACATTTTAACTTGGTTGGAGAGGCCACTATTCAAAATACATGAGCAGTATATTTTATTGCAGTAGTTAATCATATTAGATTAAAGATATAGTGGTTTCACATATTTTTGTGAAAAGACCCATGCTCTCCACCTAAAACAAAAATGTACATGGACAACCCTTTATCCGCCTCAGAGAGGGAACGCCTATTAAATGCTTTTGAGAGCATCCACAAGCCCTTTTCTCCTCGTGCATGCGCGTTTAAAAGTTGCTGTTTGCATCGCTTATACAAGCTTTGCAATTTTTTTCACTATGTCAGACCGATAATTGAAAATGGGGACTAGCATGTAGGACGGCCTTACGTAAACATATCACCAGAATGATTGACAATTAGGAGGACCACTTATACAGAGGATCCACCCGAAAAAAAAAAAAAAAAATTCGTTACAACAAAAAAAGCAAAAGTAGAACTTCCCCTTTCTTTAACACTACCTTATTCCTGCTCCAGAACCAAGCCCAGTTGCTCCACTTTTACCCGGAGAGTCAAGATGGGAGGAGTTACGCAAATGAGATGTTAGAAAGCCTGAAGCCATTAAACCCAGCGGCGTGCCATCTGGTTCTGCAGGACAACTCAGGACCATGGAGCACTCCTAAGAATGGGCCGGCAGTTAGACAAAGTATACATATTTATATGGGTTATTATGCCCATCTGTGAGGTCGCCTACATCATGTGTGACTCTACGCAGGGCCCACACTGTGTGTGTTCCCTGTACAGTGTCGTATGATATGACTAGAGAAGGCTCGCAGCAGGTGAACACTATCTTCATGTTGGAGTCAGACACGTACTGTACACGAGAGCTACTGAAGAGCCCTGCAAAAGCAAATGGAAAACAATATTAATCTGGCCAAAGAGCCCCTCAGACAAAGAAAAAGAGACAAGCAGAAAAATGGAAGACTCTACCTGAAGGTTTGCATACAATTGGTGCAATCTCATCTAAAGGATGTAGCATGCTGAACACTATTGGAAGAAGTTCCCTATGAAGAAAAAAAATCTCAGGGATTTAATGCATTAAGTCAGATTTTAATTTCTATTTTGAGCTTGTATATTCAATAGTTTTATCAGTTATCATTAAAAAATATATATATATATACATATTACCCAGGGAGATTTGGTTGTGAGTCATTTGCAGTATTTTTCCTTTCAAGCAGAAGTCCAAACTTGGTTGCCCACACATTTGAAACCTGGAACAGATAATATGAGGCAGATCATAACATATTTTACAACTAAGCCTGTAGAAAATTGCTAAAATAAATTCAGTTAACAACATTGTGTCATTCACATACATATTATGCAATCATTCCTGTATGAAAGAGATGAGCACAAAATAAGACAGAGTCAAAGCAACCATCTTCTAAGAGCTGAAATCAAGTATACAACCTCTGGCTACTCAGACACCTATTTTATTTTTATTTTTTTCAACTGCATGGAGACAGAAGAAACCTATAAAATCAGCCCCAATCTGTTGCTAAAAAAGTGCAATAAAGCTAATGCAGCACCAAGCAAATAAACATTTTGCCTGATGTTTGTCCTCTTTGGTTTAACATTTTTTCTGATGCTTTGGCAAGAGGCTTTTCAATTCTTCAGATAATATGTTTACAATATTATCTACCACCAGCTTATATGTTTCCATCCAGACTATATATAGTCTGTCTATATATAGTCTATATCTGGGTTAGTTCCTAAATAGTGAAAATATCATTTTTTTCACAAATAAGATACTTTTTTTTTTTATTAAAGGTACACTATGCAACCGGTGTTGATTTTCCAGCGAGACTCCCCCCAGAGGGCGAAAGCAAAAGTGCACTGTCGTAAATATGCACAGCTGTTCTTCTGGTTTCTCCGTCAAGCCAGGCGCGGTGGTTTTGAGCTTAGCAGACAGGCGAACGCAACGAATGACTAATGCTGCGTTCACACCGCAGCTGGCGCGACAGAAGCAGCGAGTTTACATGCAAAGTCAATGGTTGACGCGCGTCAAGGCGCAGCAAAAGGTCCCGCGGCGCGTTTTGAGATGCAGGCCCAGCGCGTCTGAGCAGCTGAAGCAGGGAGAGAGACACAGCGCTGATGATCAGAGGCTATGATCTCTCCTCTTAAACAGTTTATTGACGCCTAAATTAACTTAAAATGCAGAAATCTGCCGGCAGAATATGCAGTTTGGATTATTTAGATGAAAAACACCTACCAGCTGCCGCGGTGAACCGCGAGGACGTGACCTGGCCAGAGGCTGCTGATGAAGGGGTTCCTTCTGTCGGCGCACCGCTGGTATGTGGGGGTCTGAGCGGCTCCGACAGAAAAAATATTGAAGGCAGGATAATAATCTGAATGAACTGACGGCACTGATTACGTTTTCAGGTGTATTTTCTCATTTAAACACATATTAAAACTACTTTATTCCAAATGATCACAGCAAATATAGCTGCAAGGCAGAGAAAGGATAGTGAAGCTCCGCCCAACGCGCGTCAGACACACTTTTGCACCGCACAGCCAGAGCAGCAAACCTGCTTCAGCAGCACGTCAGAACTAACTGGTACAAGCAGCAAAAATGAAGCAGCAGACGTGATTTTGCTGCTTTTGCTGCGTGAACGTAGCATAACTGCACAAGGATCGCCACTGTGCTAGCAAGGAGAATGCTTTTAACTGGGGGGTGTAGCAGTTCTTGCCGTAAAGCAAGACTGACTCTCACGAGACTTCTGAGCCTGTGGGTGTGGGTCGGTGCTCCTGCAATTGCAAGTGCAGTATTTCCCCCACAGACCACCAGGGCGGCCGAGAATACCTTTGTTCAACCTGAAATGAATCATTTAATCATCCAAAACGTTATGGAACACATTAATTAACTGAAAAATGTTGCATAGTGTGCCTTTAACCTTAATAGGTTTATAAGAGCTTATGATCAATGTAGAAACATCCCATAAGAATTTACAAGTTTCAGATTCAGGGGTTGCCACCAGGACAGCAATGGCAGACCATAAGGCTACAGCTGTAGAGAACTTGGGTCTAGGCAGCAATCAATGTCCTCGGCTGAGAGGGGAGCTATCCACCATTCTGGTTGTATTCAAATATTTTATCATAATTTTAATGAGAAGCACAAAAATCTGGATATATATACATTTTATCTTACCATGTAGATCACAAATAAAGATATTATTTTTGTCCATATCACCCAGCTTTATTGCCACTTATTTCACTTCTCCCACAGCACTAAAAAGGGTGTAGATTAGTGATCAGTGTTTTTGGAATATGCAGTCCTGTTCATTTATTCATTATTTAATAAGTTAAATATTAAAGATATTATAGTAATTAAGTTTTAAAAAATGGTGTACTGTCTCCTTATTTTCTCCTTTACCTGAAAAGGTAGTGGTGAGATGAAATCTTTCCCAGTCACAGTGTGGACATTAATGCAGCTACTCTGGACAATACAAACGGTTTTCTCCAGTTCTTCCTCTGAAAGAGAAATATTCAGCAGAAGTGAACCATAGTTATAAGCAAAGAAGAAAAAAAATAAGGCTGGTCTTTTGACAAATGATTATCAAATTACCGTCACTGCTGCACTGACGAACAGCAAAGTTACACCATAAAGCCTGCATACAAAAAAAACACAGTCAACTCAGATTCTACCATTTTCTAGTGTAGTTAAAAAAAAATGCCAGACCAGATTTGAGAAAGACAAAACAAAATTCTTAGAAGAAAAAAAAAGATATTTTGCAGTGACTTAGATTAAGTTAAATCATTCCTATTTTTCTGAAAATATCAAAAAGTCCACATTTAAGCAAAAACACGGCAGTGGTAAACAACACCGTAAAACTGACCTGCTGTACTGGGCTGTCCACAGTGAAGGCCTTGTACACACTGGAGGCTTGTGTACGACTGCCCCGGCTCCAAACAACCACATTCCCTGCGGTATAAAGCTCTTCCTCAAACTCTGCTTCATCCTCATTAACTCCTGTGCAGCCTTTCCTGAGCTGCCAGGATTCCTGTCATTTGTAAAAATGACAAAGAGCCACATTGTTTTAGATAACACATAAAAAAAAAAATGTTTTACATACAAAAGCCACACCATCTCACCCTCTCTCTTTCTTGCAGACTGACTTCCTGCAGGGACCCCACCAACCCAGCAGCACCATCTGAGCACCAGAGCTCGGAGGCTGGCTGAAGTTCCCTAAGCTGCAGGTTGAAGGCATTCGGATGGTTCCTGCAGTGGTCACGGCCAAATGGGACAAACGACTGCAAATCCCCTGCGGCAATCATCGTGACTGTCTCTTCATACACGACTTCCGACATGAGTTCCAGATTTCAGCATTATTTCTTAAAAGACATTTTACAGTCAGTTAAAAAAAAAGAATTAAAAAAAAAACAACATTTAATTTCATTTTCTAATCATTTCTTAATAACCTTGGGGTATTTTTATACCGACAAATATTAAGCACACTAATTAGGCAAATCCTTAAAAATACAAAGGAAGCACCCAGTCTTTCTTTCTGTTCTCTTGGCCATAATAAAAATAGGATCCAATATTTCCATGGTCCCAAATTACTTTACTCTAATATCTCACATGCATATAATTAAACAAAGATCACACCAGAAGTTAAAAAAGAAACGGTCACTGAAAAAGTGCATACACTGCATAACAAAATAACTTCTAGAACTGAACCAGGTAGGGGTTTAAATGAATACTACCAGTATCTAATTACTTTAATTATGATTGAAATTAATCATGTAGCTTTTGTATATGCACATTTATTCATACTTTCTTTTTGTGTTTTATTTCATTTTCAAGGGGTTTACTTCAAGTATGGGTCAAACACTAACTATGTGATGTGTTTTAGTTAAAAAAAAAAAAAAAAAAATATATATATATATATATATATATATATATATATATATATATATATATATATATATATATATATATATATATATCCAAAATAGAAAGGAGCCTTTCCTAGTTACAAACCTGCTGTCATCTTGCGAAATGTGCAAAATAAATAAATAATAAATAAATATGCTGATTTACTGAATATGTCAACTAAATTGAATAGCTAAGTAAATAGTCCAATGGCATCTATTTTTAACTCTCTGCATGATCCGTTTGTTTGGTTTTATTTTGCTTATTTTTTAGCTGTCACTGGCCGGCTCCCATCTTTCCAATATTAAATTCAAACCTTGCCACATACCAACATCCTGGCTCCTCCGATAAGTAGCTTTAAAAGAGTAATACTTGTATTTGACGGTGGAAAATAGCTAACAATAGCATGCTAACGCTAAAACACTATAGAATTGCATTGGCACCACTGCTAGATTAGCATGTTAGCTGTGAGTTTAATGGGTGGAGTTTATCCACTTACCAGCTAATAAGGAATAAGCTGGCCCTTGTCGCGGAGTCCTCGTTTTCCCTTACAGTAAAACTGGTTTAGGTACAAAGTCTTCAACTGCGCTTACATAAAAAAAGAGCCGGCGGCTTTGCTGGAAAGGCTGAAATGTGGCTATAATAGGTTTTCAAATGAGCGCGGACATCTTTGCTGTTCTGACGAGCCACTTCCGTCTTGTCACAGGCAATCAACAAACAGAACGACCTGAGCTGTGTGCTGATAGGCTGGATGGAATTCACTAACGTTGCAGTCAACCTTTAAGAGAAAACTAGAAAACCTTCTTTTTTCTGTTTTTCTCTAAAATATAAGATTAAGCTTTAACTTTTGTTTTCTATGTTGTATGTCGTTTTACAATTATTTATATAGTCCTTAAAAAGAAAGTTCTAGAAAACTTGCAGAATCCTTATGAAACCCCCCAAAATAAAAACGTTAAAAACTAGTTGATAGATTGCTATTGTTTTATGCAATTACTTTTAATAAATATTATACTATTTATTAAAATAAATGTGTTGGTGCAAAATGAGTGGTATTCTCATTTAATGTAATTATTGTAACAAAAAACAATTATCAACCGATTACACTCCATAATTGATGTTTGTCTGTATAGCTATTAAAAACATTTTAGTTTTTATAAAGTATTTAATAGGAAGAAAGCTCTAGGACCTGTCTCCCCCCTCCCAATCTGTTGCTTATGGGTTTCCAGCAGACCACCACTCACATCAACCACAGTTCTTGTTAAAAGAGAGATGTTCTTTCCACTCTTAGTACAATGTTTTACACTGTCAAAAGGATCACCCCATTGATACAAACTTTATGCATTCACACATCCATTGTCATAACATGTTTGCACAAAATAAGACAATGTTGAAAATGTTATCTCTACACACAAATGGCTGAGCTTTCTTAGAAATAAACATTACTAGGATTGAAGTAAAATATAATATCTGTGTCAAAATCTGTAAATAAAATTGGGTTACTTCAATAATATATCTGATTTACATAAATTTGATCTGTTTATTTTGGAAAATGCTTAGAACAATTGTTTATTAGTAACTGAAATATTCTACTGCTATTAGAAAAAAGAGATAATTCAGCCAGAAACTGTATTATGTTTAAAAGGTTTATTGAGAGATGTGGATAAGATCTACTAAACTGGAGACGTAGTCAGAACATGCTTAACAGGCTGGTGGCAAGCTGAACATGATGAGAGCAGACTAAAAGGAGGAAGATGGCTAAACAGGCTAATTTAATAGGGTAGTTGCTGAACAGGCTGCTGGCAGCTTAAACAGGCTGATGACAGGCAGAGCCAGTGCAGGTCATGACCAGAGAGGGAAGCTGATGAGAATCCATTGAGGGTTCCGCGAGCACAGGAAAAAAGCAGGGCAGGTGTTGCACAAAAGCAGTGGAAATAAATAAAATAGGGCAACAAGACAATCAGGCAGAGACTGACTGTGAGAGGTGGGTATTAAGAGGCAAGATAACACCTGGAATGAATGAGGATAAATAGAAGAGAGACAGGTTTATCTGCTGTGTTTAATTATCAGAAGCATAGCAGAGAGTGGCAAGGCTGTCAGCCAGCCAAAAAAAAACACCAAATCAGGGGCAGGTTGCATGAGGAAAACCCTCCTAAAGGGTAGATTCTAGACAAAAAAAAATTGATATTTCAAAAATAGAGCTTTAAATATAATATAGTGAAACTGATATTTTTTGTTTAAGGTTATCATACTGTCAAAGTATCATACTGGCCCATGCAAATTACTCAAAACAGGCAGGGGGAGAGAGCCTAGATATTTACTCGATATGGAGGTGAACTGTATGCAAATATGTAGTTTTAACAGTACAATGGCCAATTTTTTTCCCCCTTCTTTACAAACTATTTCATTTCTGTCTCAATAAATGTATATATTCTGCAAGCAAGAGTATTTTTGGTCTAGAGATATGAATCATATTTCTTGTTATTTGACTTGAATTCTGCAACGCCTTCAGTCATAGTAGAACTCTGATGGAATTTATTCCCCCCAGAATATAGGTGCATTTAACTAAAATATTTATCACAATTAAGATAACACCGAGCAAATTATTAGATTATGTCAACATTTTTTTCAAAACAAGACAAAATGTAATTCAAAACAGCACATAAAGTAACTGTCCCTAGGTGAGGGTGGTAAATTATTTCCAGAATATGTTTAAGGTCACATATTCTTGTGTTAGCTAAACTCACTCAACCCTTAGATGTTTTACGTCTTATAGCTTTTTGGTTTACAACATTCTTAATTTATTTATTTAGTTACATATCTACAACTTTTAATATTGACCACTTAAAGCTAAATAGTGATGACAAAATATAAATAATCCTATTGAAAATTAATCAGTTACCATCTAACAAAAAATCATACCCTAGACAAAACAAGAAAATCATATACAGCTATGATATTGATGCTGCTGAAATACAAGCTACACCTCACTTTATATGATGGTGTGAAAAAAAATCATCAAGATTGTCGAGAGCCTGGCTGGCACCGGTCAACGGCAAGATAGGAACTCTGTCAGTTTACATCAGGGAAGCACTTTCCAGACACGAACCAGGGGAAAATTGAGACAAGGTGACAGAATGTCTTATCCATCTAATAAAGTGTTGCTGACTGGATAAAATCAAAGTTATGAACCAAACTTGTGTAGACAGTTGTTTTTTTTTTCTCTAATTTAAAAACTGTTGGATGGAAAACAACCCAATCTTGGTAATTTTCCATAACCGAGTTATGGGTTTGAACCAGAGAGACACTCCCATGGAGTTTGCATGTTCTGATATTGAGAGAATAAGCAAACTTAAAGGAGAAAGACCCAAATAAAATATTCAACATACAGCCTGATTGCTGCAAAACTACACTTTTAGAATGGAATAGATTTACATGGAAGTAAATTGAGCACTAACGGGGATGAAACAAATCTTTGAAACAATATAACAGTCTTGACTCGCATATAGATTACAGCAACATCCAATCTTAATACACAGGGTTAAATATGATGTTGGTCCGCCTTTTACAGCAGTATAGCATTACTCTGGGAAAGCTGTCCACAAGATTGAGGGGATTTTTTGAGCACTTGCTTCAGGACTCAGAACAGAAGGCCCAGTATTCAAGGCAGAGAGACAGTCAGATAATTCAAAAGCCTTTATTCAAAAATGGCAGATCTGCAATATCAGAAAGGACGTCTAAGGCAGGAACCTCTGCAGGAGGAAAACACAGGTTAGTGCCCATGTTAAGCTAATGTAGGGAGATTATGAACATGCGAGTCACTAACCTGGTTTAATAGTTCAGGGCAGACAGGCAGACTTGTAGTGGTCCAGAGGAGTAGCGGAGCGGACTGTCAGTGAATAATTTCCTTAATCTCAGAGAGATGAATAACTCCTTCCAAGGCTTGAAGGACCAGGCTTATACAGGGGATCAGAAAATAATCCTGCCAGAGACCACAAAGGATAACAAAGGGTTAGAACCTTGGACTCAGAGAGACAAAAACTCAAAAGGTTAGACTCAGCTAATCTCAGAGAGGCTAGAGTACCCAATACTGGCAACACTCTGGGGTCGAGGTAGACCACTCTGGGGTCTACCTCGGTGAGGTGACAGTCCGCTGCTCATATACTCTTCAGGTAATGACCAAACGAGCTGCAGGTGTGGGTGATAAACCAGAAGAGGCCCTCCAGGCCAAAAGGGGAAAATTATATCATCTAGTGGATGGGTGGAGACAATAAAAGAAAAACATCAACATCTCCCACAAACAGAAACCCTAACAGGTTGTCATGATCACATATTTGGAGAAATGCCAGGTTCAGTAATGTCTCCATAATAAAAGATAATTGATGAAATTGTTGTCATATCAAGCAAATTTGACCACTTTCACACTACATGGAGGTTCCAATACTATATACCAGGCATCCCCAAACTCGGTCCTCGAGGGCCGCTGTCCTGCAGGTTTTAGAGGTTTCCCTGCTTTAAAACAGCTGATTATAATGATTGCAGTAGAGCAAAAGCATGTTAATTAGCTTTCAATTAAAATCAGCTGTGCTGGTGCAAGGAAACCTCTAAAACCTGCAGGACAGCGGCCCTCGAGGACCGAGTTTGGGGATGCCTGCTATATACCAACAGCAGCCGTGACAGACATATTATTATAGTCAATTAGCTGAGAAATGATGGAGGATGTTGATGAGGTCTTATTGCTTTGATATGTATTCAGATTGTATTACTTTATGGAAGAGAAATGCATCTGTGAGCAGCTTTGACGCACTTAGGTGAGCTTGCACTCTGGTGACTTGATCCAAGGAGGAATCTCTAAAGCTGCCTACTTCAGCTGCGTCATAGAATATACCCTGTCGCAGGTCTAGCTCTGAGTGAAAAATGATGTTTATAAATATGTCAAATGCACCCACGCAATCCAGTGCAATTCAGTTATGGTTGTGAGGCTCATAATATTCATTTTTTCTCGATTCTGAAACACAGCAGGTCATTTAGAATCATTTTTGTCAATGTATTAGATTACATTGTATAATGAGAGCCTAATGGTTCCTTTTATGCTTTTTTTTAAAGTTCAACATTAGGAATACTCTGTCAGTCAGTGCTTGTGAATTGTTTTACCTCCAAAATTAGAAGAAAGGAACATGTCTAAGTAAGAAAACCATTTTTAAAGATGTAGTTAGAACTCTTTTATAAATAATGAGCAGATGATTCCTTACATAATTAATATTTTGATGTTTTTCCCTTTTCTTTAAGTAAGGAAATCCTCAGATCCCACTACAAAATGATCTCTCACAGCACATTTTGACATGTCACTGCAGAAAGGCCTAGTGCAGCTCAAATGACATTTACAATGGCTCTGTTATGCTCAGGTGTGCTGGCGACCCAGCTTGCACAGTGGCAGTGCAGCATAAGATGGAATGTAGCTATTACAATGGTACGACATACTCGACTTTGATGGCTTAAAATGTCTGAAACGAAAGCTTGAAATATCTGTTCTGGACCAATGGAATCACACCCCTCCTTCAATGCCATATTAGGATGGACAAAGAGACAGATAGATAGATAGATAGATAGATAGATAGATAGATAGATAGATAGATAGATAGATAGATAGATAGATAGATAGATAGATAGATAGATAGATAGATAGATAGATAG